TTCTAGAGGAAGGTTTCTAGTGTTTGAGATTTGGCAGTGTGATCTATTCAAATGTCAAAGGTTCAGCAAGCTTGGGCCTGGTCAGTAGATCTCAATGACAAACCAGGCTGCTGCTGATAGTAATGTCAGTGGACTAGAAAATGGCAGTATTACCTCAGGCCAAAAACTACTATATATATATATGTTTTAACTGCTTCAGAGTGTAAAGCCCTCCAAGTAGAAGGTTTGTAATGTCCCACACTGCTTCTCTTAAAGTGGTGGGACTTATAGATGTGAGAATGTGTCTGAGCCGCACCATTACCTAAACAGTGGTCGAAATCACATTGCAGAGTAGCACTGTCCAAATCCCACTTTATGTTACAAAGGAACAAGTATTAGGTTTATTCCATGCTGAAAAGAGAAGAAGGGAAACACAACGTTTTGGCTGCAGAGCTAGTTCGGATATGGTGACATCATCGCCCTCCCTGCGCATAGCAGGGACCTCAGCTGCCTGGGCTGAGAAACGTCTCCTTTAGCTCATGCAGCTGCTTCCCTGTTGCGTTATGCCAGAGACCCAGGTTCGTGCCCCAGGTGTTGTGGGATGAAACGGGTAGCGGAGGTTATGAGCCCGTGTGGAACCGCATAAGTCATAGGAGCCTTCTTTGGGTATGAGGGGAGGGGAGGCTCCACAGCTGAAATGTTGTGTTTCCTTTCTCGTCTTTCCAGCATGGTATAAACCTTTACTTGTTCCTTTGTAGCCTACGCATGCTGAAGCAGCTACCTACTTGAACCACTTTATGTTAAGTAGGTTCTGTCCATGTAGCTCATTTTACAATTAGAAACTCATTGATCCAAGGATTTCTTCCACCTTTGTGTTGAAAGACAACGAATCAACTGAAAACTTGACTAATTTACCAGATTTACCAGAATTTAGATCACTGATATAAAATAAGAAGTGCAGTGGTGCTCGTACAGATCCCTAATTAAATCCACTAATTACAGTACATCACCCTAGTTTTTGCATTTCACAGATTCTCAATTCAAACACACAAATTTACCAAATTCCTAACACAAAAAAATCTAAATCCTTCTGAAAATCCATATGCACTATACATTGTGTGTGTCCATTACAATTACTGTTTACCAAAGAATGCTAACTAGAAATTAAACTATACCTGCCCTTTCTTACTCCACACTCATTCAAGGCCCCTCAGGACAATTCCGGGTCACTCAGATGAACATCTTGTACCTCCAGCAACCTTATTTACTGTATCTTTCGCAGTAAATGCCCAGCCATCTACATTGGGGAAACAGGAGGGAGACACTTGGAGACGGCTTCAGAAAATGTGTTTGGACTGTGAAGATTAAAGATTTCTCCAAGCCTATTGTTTCTCATTTCACCTCTGATGGCCATGATCGCACTAATCTCTCCGTCTGTGTTCTCAAAGATGTTTTTTCCTAACTCCTACATCAGAAAGACTACCGAAACTAAAATTATCCTGCAGCTAGGTTCTCAACTTCCCCCTTCTCTCAAAGACAACTAATTTTCTTCAAAATTCTCTCTATTCATTGTAGGTTTCATTTCACACCTCTCTTCACCTATCCTGACTTCATACTCACCTGATTGGCCACTCTGTCTGTCTCCTCCTACCACCTCCCGCTCCTCCTCTCTCCCAGCTTTTGTTCTCCTGCTACATTACCTTTGCCTACTGCCCTGTCTTTCTCACACCTGAAGAAGGCTCCACGGCCAAAACTTTGTGTTTATTTTTCTTCTCTTTTCAGCATGGAAACTTGTTCCTTTTCTTAATCCATGTTGACTATTCTCTTATTACACCTTATTTCCATATATAGTAGGTGGTCCTATAGTATAGTTTTACTTGTTGTATCCATTATCTTACCTATAATAAATGTTAGACTTATTGGGCTATAATTACTGGGTTTATTTTTGACACTCCTTTTATGGAAGGACACTGCAGTCCTTGGGTACACTGTATTTGTATGGTTTCAAAGTTTGGCAGCCTATTAGCAGCTTGCCATTTGACACCATACCTTGTGGCAGGTTGGGAACCTTGCAGGACTATAGTATTGCCAGTAAGACCGGTGCGAGTGCTTGTGATGTTTTTGCTACTTTCTTTCACGTGTGCAGTAGGTAACTTATATGTTTATATATATATGTGTGTTTTGGAGGATGCGCACACAGTCTGCATCCTTAAGAGGTGCTGCTTTCTAGGGCTGCAGCTGGAAGTCAAAGTGATTGATAGTTGCTGATTCCAAAAATTGCGAGGACGTATAAAAGTAAACATAACTGGTGATTCCAAATTAGAAAAAACAAGTTTATTGAACATTGGAAAAACACCCCAAAAGAAAGCTGTAGGCTTTTGCTGTGAGTACAGGGCTCTCTGCAGGAGAAGGTGAGTCATGCCACGAGGGAGGAATGCTACAGTAGTTGGATTCCTGATCACGCAGCAAAATCTTATCTTTATTGTTTTCACTTAGTGAGCTCCTGAGGTCTGCAAAACCAACAGGGCCTTGTCACTTATTCTTCTGTATAAACAAGCAGGTTTTAATGTTTGCTTTTGCAACACTGCAGCTCAGTCAAGAAATCCAACGAAGAGAAAAAAAGTATGTTTTCATTTTCCTGGCACAGAACAGAAAACCGCCATATGCCTTTCAAATAAGGTTTTGCATGTTACGGCCAATGCCATTCTTAATGAAGTCTTCACATTGAACCAGTTTGTCAGTTAATGTGGAAGCAGAGAACATCTGAGTCTTTAATACATAACCAGGCTCTCCCTAGAGCAGCTGCAGAAACATGCAGCCCTTCCTGTGACCCTTTAAGCCTTTTATCTTACCTGCCCAGAGGAAAACTAAACCAACCAACCATGGGATCACAGAGGGGTTTCCCTGAATTACTGAAGTACAGGTACAGGTTTTCAGTTTCTCTTCTGAGTGCTGATGGGTCAAACTAGAAAATAAGTGCAGGCTTGCTGAATGGCTTTCTTATGTCCTTATCTAATGGAAAACAAGGTGACACAGAAAATGTCTGTCAGAGCATCAGACAGTGACCGTGCTGTGAATCAGTCTTTTTCTTGACCAGTCCCTGTTGTTCTCTGTTAATGACAAACTCATTCAAAGCCCAGCTGATACTTTCCCTAAGAGGGATCCTGACGACGATATGCTACCTGTGGCCTCTCTAGTGAATGCTTAAATGACATTATCATTCAATACCTTTGCAATTCCCATTCCATCCTCTGCAATTGACCCATCACTTTCTTTAAACAATTCACTTCTGATATTTCTGTTTAACCATTGGGAAAAAAACACTTTGTGCAGGTTTACAAGATTTGTGACATGTGTGATGTAGTGCCCAAAAGTGGTCAGAATAAATTATACAAGTACCTGCATACTTTTATCACCTCCTGGGTTTCCTGGACCATTTTTATTGTGATCACCTTTTATTTTTATCTTGCAATTAGAGAACCAACATACAAATAATAACAACCCCCCTTCCCTAGGAACAAAATCTTTTCCTCTCCTAACATTGTCCTGACCCCACCAACTCTCATCTCAAATTTTCTCTCTCCAAGAATAGACATCTTTCTTACATTTCCCCAGAACCCACTCCTTCAACCAGCTCAGTAACTACTGGATGGTGACAGGACCAACAGTGCTCTTATGTTTTCTATAGTTGTCTCACAGAGACAAAGATTAGTATTAGGGATTCCTTCTGTGGTGCTAAGAACTGATGCAGTAGACAGCTCCGTTTGGGCAATGTCAAGAAAGGCAGGGGTCCACACGTGCCCAGGAAGGGAGTGTGGCATCTGCCAACTACAGGCCATCGTGCTATTAACAGCAGTAATGCCAGCCAACCACACCCTTTCCTGTGTTATTTCTGTGACCAAAATGGAGATACTCTACTTCAGCACTGTTATTAGTCTCACAGAAATCCTTTCCCAAAGCACTAGAATATCTATCTATTCCCAGACCATATGACCAAATGTGCCTCTTGCCAAGAAATAGTCTGTAGCTGTATGAGATACCTTGACCATTTTTATTATTGATTTTCTGGTAAATGTATGGCTAGAGTATGCAGAGCTGTGAATGCTCCTAATTATGCAGTAAAAGACCAGAAAAACAACCACTGTAAGCATTTTAAAGTGCTCTCTGTGTATGCATTTCATTGATGGTATAGTTTTGCTGAAGTTAAAAGGTTTTCTGCATAGTTTCAGCAGGTACTGTATCTCAATACATCCTGACAGCTTATCTCAGTCTCTGCCTACTGTTTATTTTCCACTTCTTAGCATAGCAATGATTCAGCATTCTCTCTGGTCTATTTGATGTTGTTTTTTTTTATTATTTTCGAGCCTTGTGACATACAGTACAGTACTGATGTGGAATTATTTTGGATTCCGGTTCAGTTTTGAAAATTGTCCGATATTGAAGGGGTCTTCTTCCCTACATTTTTATGGGATTTTTGAAGAAGAGACAATTTCACTGGAGAGAAAATGAGTAGACCTATGAGATGGAACAATTAATTATCGGAGCTAGGAGGAAGGAGGCTGAAGGTGGGGGTTAAGATTGCAATGAAATCTAACCTGTCCACACTGAAAATTGAACACAGTCAAGCACATTTAATGTGATGTAACAACTACTTTTTCCATTCAATGATTTGGCTGCCTTCTGATCTTATTAAAGCATCTAGCAGAGTAGTTTGCACAATGAGCACCCAGTTATCTACGTGCTCTCTGATTCTCCCTTGTTTTTCTTTCTTATTTATCTGAATGAGAAAACACAGATTTCAAGCTGTATTTTAAACTGTTTCACCAAAATGCCAAAGTCTGAACAGCACTTTCCTCACCCCCTGTTCTGGCAACAAGTTATCAAAAAAAGTCTTCCAAGAACTTCTGAAAGGAACTGATCACGTAGTTCAAATAATAGCAATGAAAGCAGGAAGCACAAGGAAGAATCATAGTCTTACCAGATGATCATGAGAGCTTACTTGATTTTTTTCTCCTTCACAGAAAGCAAGGTTGGCAAGGATACGGGTGGCTAAGGCAGGCAGCTCCAATGCATTCCTCCATAGCAAGAGAAATGGCCTCCTAAATGAAGCACTGGAGCTCATGGTAAGCATTCCATTTCTCTTTGAAAAGCTGTCTTTATTGCTCTTGCCTTTTTTACTTTCATCCTGTGCTATGTCTGAGCTCAATCAGAATCTGATTCACTGTTTGTTGTACTAGGGAGAGGCTCAGTCTGTGCTCTGCTATGGCCAGCTTCAAACTGCACTGTACTAGGGCCAGTTTCAGTCTATGTTGCACTGTATTAAGGTCAAGGTGAATGTGGACTTTAATAGGAAGAGAGTGCAAGTGTTTCTACTCCTCTTAGTCCTGGTTGATCCTAAGTAGAACTGCAGGGATCCTTCTGCCATATTTTAAAGCACAATCAATCAAGCAGTACAGAGAGTTTGACCATATTATAATAAGCAGTATACAAGAGATAACTGAAAGTACAAAACACAAAGAGCAACCACAGTACAAGCTCAAAGCACAAAATGGAGCATGTACAAACATTTGAAGTGGAAACCCAATACAAAGTTAATTATCTATCCATCTCTGCAAAAATCCTTGCTGTGGTGTAAATTTGAGTCTTCTGTGTGACTACATCTGGCCCTGAATACAAAACACACAATACGGCAAAGAAGTGCCCTTTAGCTAGTGATATTGTCTCATGCAGAGTAATGAACATTTAAACATGAGGTGCACAAAGAAAGTTCACGCTGTAAAGACATTCAAAAACTTAAATCTGAGAGCTTTGTTTGAAGAAGACAGAAGCGGTCACATCTCATATATCTCCAAGTCAAATAGATGACAGAGCTCTCAGTGAGCAGCTATGGCATTTTAATATTTTATTTAACTCAGCCACCTTCCATTAAAAATGAATTATATAGCCAAAGAGTAATGAAATCAGAATGGACCTTTTGTATTCTCCAGCTTTAATGCAATTAGGAAAAACTGAAAATGAAAGCACTTATTACATGCAGGAGAACTGGAAAAGGTTTCATTGTTTTTTTCACTTTTATTTATCCAGCAATGAACATACTGTAGTGGAATTGCAAAGGCCTGCTCCCTGTGTTCGAACTGAATACAGAACAAATACTCTAATTAGCAATTAATTATCAGTTTTCATCTGGGTGCCCACATTGTAATTCAATAGCACTGAATGTAATGTAATAGCAACGATGCCCTTGCTGACATAGTTTTCTTTTCCTGCCTGGTGTTTCACTGTGATGTTTATATTCTGTCTACAGCAAAAAATGGTCTGTGGATATGGGAAAACTCTGCCAGACTAACTGGGACAGACACACATGGAATTGAGAACCTTTACAGTTTTGTATATAATAATAATAATAATAATAATAATAATAATAATAATAATAATAACAACAATTGCTTACACTTATATAATGTTTTTCTGGACACTCCTCTCAAAGTGCTTTACAGGTAATGGGGACTCCCCTGCACCACCACCAATGTGCAGCATCCACATGAGCGCTCACCACACACCAGCTATAAGTGGGGAGGAGAACAGAGTGATGAAGCCAATTCAGAGATGGGGATTATTAGGAGGCCATGATTGGCCAGAACATCAGGGTTATACCCCTACTCTTTTCAAGAAAAGCCCTGGGATTTTTAATGACCACAGAGAGACAAGACCTTGTTTTTTACGTCTCATCTGAAGGACGGTGCATTTGTTTTACATATATACAGTAGATACATGCAGATACAGATTTCTCTTATATATGCAAATTCCACATCGTGTGAACATAGTTGTAGTGGTCTAGCTGCTTACTCTGGGTTTGCATTGAAAAGGCCTTTGTACATCTGAAAGGATAATATCTTGCACTTTTTAGGGTTTTCTACTGACCAGAAATGGACTCAAACACTTTTCACTCTTTCTATGTCACCAGCAAAACAATGATGCTACTGTAAATAGAAAACAGGTGTACAAGCTGCAGAAATTTGAAAAGAAAAGTGTGTAAATGTCAATTGATATGGCATTCACTGTAGTTTAATGAAGAATTGAACACCTGAACTGTTTGCAAAACATGCTGCTGTTCCTGAGCTACCCCCACTTTATCTGGGGTTCAGACATCAGGCATCAGATGCCTGGCCAATTACAATAAATCTATAGTTGGGGCAACTGTGGAGGTATTTTGTTGCCAGGTGGCAGAGGAAGCACAGTACCATGTGCATACGTGTGTGGGAGACCACAGCTGAGAGAGCTATCCAGCAACATTATTTAAATGCCATTTGTTTCAATGACCTAGGGTCAAATCAACACAGCTTTGTCACCCAGAGCTTCAGAGGCAATCAGGAAAACAGCGGGGAACTAGAAGAACCTCAGCCTGCAGTGGAGCATTTGGTTTGAGATGACAGGGCTCTGATTTCAAAGTAACTGCGTAGGGGTGTGCTATTTTGACATTAATATTGCTCTTACTACTCTGTGACATATACTGAAAGATATGTTTGAATTCCTACACATAAAACAAAAGAAAAGATGTATATTGTCCAATTAGTACAAAACATACAATAGATCTGTGATGGGAGAAATTGAAGATCCTACAGGCAGACTAGATTGCTGGAATCTGCATGCTCCAAGAGATAGTTATGGTGATCTGTCAGTGATCACCAGGTGGACAGCTTTGAATTAAATTCTGAAGTTAATTAAAAGAAAAAATATTCCTCTCTGTCATGAATTTAAGAGCATAAAGCTCCTCCTGAGCATCTATTACAATAAACCATGATAGATATACAGTGAAATAGTGGAAGAGCACACAGAGGTGTGGTAATGTATGTTACATAAACTGAGAAACCATGGAAAATCAAAGTAAATGTCTGGTGTTAGAAATGTAAAACAATATGTTATGATTGTTCAAAATTGCAGGTTGGAGAAAGAATGTCAAGCCTGTAGTTTCTCTTGTTCAGTTAGTTTTTGTTTCTTTAATCTCAGCCTTTTCTCCAACTGAATCATTTTCCACTGCACAGCTCGGACACTGCTTTTTCTCCATCCACCCACAGCTCTATGCCTACAGAAGTGCCTCCTGTTCTCTTTCCTGAATCACCAGAGATGCATACCAGAAAATAGATGTGCATTGCTTTCAAAATAGAATTAGACTCAAACAGAGCAAGAGGATCCTGCACACAGAACAGGCACGATTTCTCATTATTTTTCCATTTAAGGGCTTCTAGTACCCGTGTCTACATTTTAGTAAGCTCTTTGGGCTGTTAAATGATTGTTGCATTCTTGGCTGGAAGACTTCAGCAGGGGCTTGTGGTCTGGGAGACAGACATGCACATGAGATGATAGTGGGCACGCTGTGTTTTTCAGGGATCCACAGAGGAGGAGCAGCAGCTGAGAAAATCCACCTCCATCATAGAAAGTCAACACCACCACCTTCTGCACTGTCTGGAGAAGACTACTGTGAGTGAGGCTGCCAGCTGCACTGTTACACCATACACTGTTATGCAACACTGCTCCCAACAACAAGCACATGCCCAGCTGGATTTATCGATCTTTTTATCCTTCTATGTCTTCATCCTTCCATCTCTCAATCTATTTGTATATTTGTATAGAAGTAGCCCTAATATATTTAATTATTCATCTTTTCTTGATATACCTTAAACTAACCATTCATCCATTCTCTAACGACTTCACCCAATTCATGGTCGCAAAGGGGGACAGTATATCTTGACAAGCCACAGGCACAAGGTATTGTACTGCCTGGATGGGATGCCAGTCCATCATAGGGTACACACTGACACAGACACACCCATGCTCACACCGGGGCCAATTATCCTAGAAGCCAATTATCCTACCAGTACGTCTTCGGACTGTGAGTGAAAAAAAGAGCCCACATGAACAAGGGGAATACATACACAGATACAGTAGCACCCCAGGTCTGGAATTGAACCCAGGGCCCCAGCCCTGTAAGACAGCAATGCAGACTACTGTGCCAACCACCTTGAGGTGTCTGTTTTGTAAAACCAAAAAATAATATTGCCTGAAAAAGTGAACAAAAAGAAAACAAGAGCAGGAGTTCAAACCTTAAATAATGATTCAAATTGGAAACACTGACAAGGCTACAACAGACAGGTGTGCAGCATCTGTGGTCCTTGTGGGAACTTCCTCTGCTTTTTAAAGAAGCCCGATGTGCCCCCCAGGCAGCTGGCTGAATGACTGTCCAAACAACACAGATGCCACACTCCAGTGCTGAGGTCCACTCCAGTGGGCAATCCCTGGCACGGGGCTGGCATGACCACAGGTAGCAGGATGCTCCTCCTGAGTGTTTCCAGGGCATTTGGAACATCTAAGATCTGATTATTTCAAAAGCCAAAGATGACTGAATGTAGTTCTGAGTGATTGTTTTCTAAGTGTATCCACAACTGTTTTTTAACTGGAAGCAAGACATAGAAATATAGGTGTATGATCACGATGACAGAACAGGACTGCTATATAGTTTAACTTCTAGCACATTTAATTCAGCTGCTACCATTTTAAAATAAGAGGCTGTGATAGACTCAGCATTATAACCCAGATAAATATAAGGATTTGGAGATGTAAGGTGCAGCACAGGGCAGCTGCTTCCTCTTAGTAAGTTCAATTCCTGGGTCCTATCTGTGCAGGCTTTGTATACTCTTCCCATGTTCACATGGCTTTCCTCCAGATACTCTGTCTCCCTCCTACAGTCCAATGACCAACTGATAGGCTAGTTGGCTTCTGGAAAAACTGGACCTGGTGTGAGCAGTGTGCATTTCTGTGGGTCTGCCCTTCGATGGACTGGCATCCCGTCCAGGGTGTATCCGACCTTGCACCCTTGCATCCATTGCTGGGTTAGGCTCCAGCTCCCCCACGACTCTGAATTGGGTAAAGCTGTTAGAAATTGGATGGATGAGGGTCTAGTAAGCACCCACTGTGGCCATTGCTAAAGAAACGTTTCAGAAGACTGCTTGGAGTTTTGCTAAATTCTGTCTTCATTCTTTCCTGATGCATCTCCTGACATCAATCAATGGTACTAAAATATCTTTCCAGAAGCTATTTGTAGAACATTGAGCTGGCAGTGATCACTGATATTCTCATAAAAAACAGAATGTGAATATAGCTCTGAGCTCAAAAAGCAGGATATCACAAATAAAACACATGCTTAGTAGATTTAAATTGGTGTAGCTCTGCCATATTACAATGAGCAGCTTTGACACAGAGATGATACTACAGTGACAAAGGCAACAGACAAAACAGACTTAATTTTATTCATATGATTGTAATCAGGCAGAGTTCTGTAGCATTGGTAAACCATCCAATCTGAGATACATCGATGCTTCTTTCTTTTACCCATTAAAGCTGAAAAAAATCAGAACATGAAACCATTGCAAATTTAATAATAGCAAAGCTTCGCTAAGGCTTCACTGAAATGTATTATTAATGCAGATCCATTCAAACCCAAGCATGAAATCATTTGCATTGCATCGCTGGCAGTAAAACTGTCCCATTTTCAAGTTCTCCACTACAAAAGTCTCCAAAATCCACTGATGTTTGTTAATAAGTAATGAGGTGTTAATTTTCTATGACGGAGAACTTGCCCAAGTGCAATTAATGCTCGTTTAATGTGCCTAAACATTTATTAACAATATTGAGTGAAGATCAGAAGCAGCTCTTTTGCCAAATAAAATTAAGTAGGCAGATACAATGTATAATAAATTAATCTGCCTATACACTGAGGCTAATCCAATTCTCTTTTACCATTACAGAATGGCAGGCAGTCTGAATTGCACTTACTGAAGGATATGTTTCTATATTTTGAATATCCTATTGTGATTCTCTAACATTATTTATCTAATGTGCATTCTAACTGTTCCAGGTAGAGGAATTATGGTACCTGATACAGTAATAAATTTATCACGCTTTTATCAGGATTTTGCACAAGGAATAGATCCAATAATTATTTGTATGCCTGGTGGCAAGAACAAGATTTTTTCCAAAATATAGGTACTACATGACTTTGACCTTCAGAAAAGAGATGGGAGAGGAAAAGCTCCAGTTTTGGAGCTGCTCACCTCTGAGACCCTATTGGGTTTTTTGCTCTGTGTAACATGATGAGGCATGGCAATAGTATGAGGCAGCTGCAGAGCAGGGCACCAAGAGAGTGATTGTGTCCCGCTCCACCTTCATGGGCAGAACCACGAGTTTGTGGACGAGCAGGTGTACGAGCAGAACTGCCTGGACAGCACCCTGCAGAGCTACCCATCCCGCAGCCCCTCCCTGTCCAGTCACCACGGCCTGACCTCCTCCTGCTGCTCCCGCCGCGCCAAGAAGACCACCCACCTGCCCAACTCTAGCGTGCCTGCCACCCGGCTGCGCAGCCTGCAGGAGCTCAGCGCCATCCACATCCAGTGTGGTAACCAGCCGCCCCTGAGCACCAGGTGAGAGAACCACAGCTGGAGTCCGGCATTCAGGGATGGGAGGACCTGGGTTTTTTAATCTTCCTCTAGTTCCGATGTTTCATGACAGGATCCACAGGCTTATATTTGATGGAAACGTGCCCACCTCACTTTTTTGTCAGCCCAAAACCTAAAATGTAAAGGTTTTGATCAAATCTGGATTTTTCCCAGAAAGAGAATGCTTCCTGTGCCTGAAAATGAGGAGCTCCCATTAGAGGATTGTAATGGTCATTGTCAAGGGTGACCTTTACTTTGGAATCAGGCTGTAATTGCAGTTATTTACACCCTTAAAAAGAAGCTCAAGGTTTTCTTCAGTTCTTTGTTTTCCATTCATCAGCCTAATGAGGGGGACTGTTTGAAGTTGAATGTTGTTTTATTTGCCTCATTAAGTTGATGAATGATACATAAAAGACATGAAGAAATGCTTTTCTCGTCTCCTCCGGGAGGCAGGCGACCTGTGAGATGACTACTGTGAAGACACCACACCTCAGCTGTAGCATCAGAAAAAGTTTGTGTGACCAGCTGCACTCTAAATAAGGTGGCGCGTGAGTCCTGAGTGCATTAAAACTCACAGGAACTGAAGACTAGAGGGTAAGGTATCTGTGGTCACCAAAGCTCTTCTTAGTTGCAATCAACAAACCTGCTCTACAAGAGCCAACTCTGTACCCACCCTTTGTATATCCTAAGCAAGCCAAATTCCATAGTATCAGAATGTGTTTGCCAACCCTTCACTAATTATGTAATAATTAACAAACTCCCCCCAAGGACCTGCACACCACAAGCACACCACTCACTCCATCAGAGGTCTTCAATTGCTTGACTACTAAAGGATTCTTTTCAGCACCTATAGCATCAGTGATACAACAATGACTTGGGAATTTATTCCCTAGATTCATTATTCTCTGGGAAAATGAAATCTAGTACTGAAGCTTAATTTACTGTAAATTTTCAGTTCCTCCTAAAAGCAGCGGCCAATGGAATGTATTAAATGTTTATTTAGTACAATTTTCCCGGATGAGGGAGTGGCAGGCTACGAAAGAGGACAAGGCTGAGAACCCCCCCCCTCCTTGTGAGGAATGAACCAGGGAGCTGTTGAAAAGGTGAACATGGGATGGAGCGAGGGAGGGGTGTGGGGTGTGAGACAGAAGCACAAAAGTGCTCAGTAGGCAAGATACTAACACGCAGGACAGTAGAAGTGGGCAAAACTAGGAATTTGACCTCATACCAAAGGTCTGTTTAAATTTAAAAGCTAATGTCAACCCTAGTCTTAGCAGTCATTTACTGAAGCTGTGTCTGCTCTCAGCTGTAGTGTTTCAGACCTGAGGGGAAACTTGCATAAATGACTAAAGACTTAAGAGTTCTACTTCTGTTTCAGCCGATCCAGCCTGAACATGAAGTCAGATGAGGCCGTGCGGCTCAACTGCAAGAGCTCCCAGGTTACCACGGCAATCATCAGCATCCCAACTCCCCCGGCAACCACCCCCGAGGGTGAGGGCAACAACCACCCCTCCAGCCCCAGCATGCACACCTCCAGCAGCTCGAACATTGTCAAGGTGTCAGCACTGTAAAAGAGCCTGGCTCAAATTTTGGGTCCCAACTGAACCTGCTGCACAGTAACATTCAATAAAAATGGACAAACGAAAGAAAGAAATACAATGGAAAAACACAAACGGAATTAATTGTGCCTGAAAGACTGTCCTTAACAGGGAAAAGAGGACAAAATAAGGAGGCCTTTTGGGCTGGTGTTTGAGAGTTGTCAGAAGAACCAGTTTGAGCCATTTCAAACATCCAGTGTGTTCTACATGATAGCGTTTCCACAAAGAAAGTCACAAGACACTGTGCACTAAGCACCTTTCCTTGGCCAGCTGGCTTTTTAATGACTTCAAAAGAAAAGAACAAGGGAACGATTTGAAAAAAAAAGATAACAGGATAGTTGCTGGTGTTTTCTGTTTTTTTTCCCTTTGTTTAGATTCATATCGTTTTTCGTCAGAATATTACCTTGATATAGAAAAAAAACATATATCATTTACCAAAATCTTTTTTTAAGTATTATTTTATTTTGTTCTAGAGAAATGAAAAAAAAAGATAAAAAAAGCAAAACAAGGTAGGAGCGTCGGTCACAGAGTTGTTTGTGGATTTTAATTTTTATTTTTGTGGGTGTGTGTGTGCGTGCGAGGACTACTTGTACACTTGACTCAACACAGGACTCTCATAGGCTCGCCACACTTCAGCAAGGTGCTGCTAGAGGAAAGGTTCTTGTGAAGACATTCTAGTGTCTAAAGTTCCCAGTAAAAGCCTTCATTCCTGTAATTAAGATGTGCTGCTTTTCACAGGTACAGTTATGTACTGTACATATCATTTTAAGCTCCAAAACGATCCTCCCAACTTCCAACAAACTGCAAGACCACACTAATGGTACTTCTGGACTAACACAGAGGTGTTCTGGCAATCTGGCAATCTTTTTGCATTGTTTCTACACTGCACTGAACTTCGGTGACCTGAAAAACAGCAGAACATCAAGCTAAAAAAAGCATGAGGCATTTATTGAGGTTTTAGGCAGAGACATGTCCTGAACCATACCTCAGCACCAGATTCTTTGTCAATAGTGTTAATAGATATTTTGTATTATTAGCCATTGTATGGCCAAGCAGTGGCTGTTTTCCCCCATTTTAGCATTGTCTAGTGCAAATCCATCGCCCATTTTGACAAAAAGAGATATGCTTTCTCTAGTCGTTACATTGGGATTTTTTAATTGTCGGGTGTGCTCTCTGTGTATTAAATTTTCAGTATTTGTATTTTTTGCTGCCTTGGTGTTACTGACTTCTTGGTCTTCGCCGTCTTCTGGAAAACCTTCAGCTGTCCACAACACGGCAGAATTGAAACAATGAAAATCTTTACCGCTGCAGAACTGAGCTTAAAAACTGTGCTTGACCAGCGTCCTGTGTCCTGTCCTGTCTTCTGTGAAAAAGGCTTCTGTGTTGTCGGCCTTTTTTGCTCTGCTCTTTTTTTATTGCAATTTTATACCAGAAGGTGGGACCTGAACCAAACTGGACTGTGTGTCAATGCTCTGGAGTGTTTTGGGGGTAAAACAGAGACACAATTGAGCAGGGTTTCTTTTTTTTCCCACTTTGGGGAGTTGAGAGAGCATCTCTCACCGGCCTCAACGAGAATTTCCACTTCCAGAGCATCAAAAGGTTGAAGGTGCTTTTCTAATCTTTTTGACTTGGTATCCATGACTCCTGAAAGGAATGAAAATGTGTCACTGGCTGGAATTGTGCATTCTCAGCCTAGCACCAACCTGAGATGGACTGGGTGCTTTCCATCACTGCCTGTTCAGGAACAAGTGTATGCAAAGTAAATGCAAATAACTGGGACCAGTTTCACTGCTTAACTGCCACATCAGAATAGCAGGTAATGGGGTATTAATAATATGATATAGTTCGCAAATGACCATTTCTTGTTTTGTTGTCTCTCTTCAAATTAGATCCCTTTGATGCTGTCACTGACTACAGTGTATTCATCCAAGAATTTTACTTATGAAGTAGACGATATTTTCCAGTTTTCAACACCAAAAATCTGCTTTTCAAGATAAATCGGTGCCCACTTACCGTTAAAACACTCCTGGTTTTGCGACAAGGTGAAACAGATCAGATCTGTCCCGATCTGGAGTAAGTCAGGAAGCTGTCCATGGAATTCCATCAGATGTAACAGCTGTAATCATCTCATACAGCATGAGAAGCACAAGAGGAGGAAAGGGCAGAAAATATCTTCTAAAATTAAATTTTAGGTCCAGTTCTGTAGACAGGCCAGTGTGATTATTTTAAGTTGTAAGGGGTGTCATTTTTTTGTTGTTGAAGGTGTTAACCCGAAGAGTGCCAATGGATTTGTGATGCCCATCGCTTCCATTGTGAAACTGTAGACCAAATGCTGAATGGGGCCTCCTACAGATCCTTAAACCTCCTCTCATGTAATAACTAAGATGCTTACAATAGCCATTCTGTTTTTCTCACCTACGAGACATGTCTGACACAGCATGGAGCCACTGATCCTGAAGTTTACTTAAACAGTAAATACCACTGTGACATTTACATTAAAGTAGAATGAACTGATCTTTGATGACAAAATAACATTTCTCTGATTATGCCCTTTAAGAAAGTTTCCCCTTCTTTTCCCTTCTTTCCTCTTATTTCCCTGTTTTGGTGGTTTTTCTACACATGTCTCCAACTAACATTCGCATCAAAAACTGTCAGGTCAGATCTAACAGAACAATAATGTTCTGGAATAGCAGGGGCAAGAGACTTGCACACTTTCCCCTTAAAGGGAGTGTATCTTAAAGCCATCCACACTTTTCATGCACCAACTCACGCAGGTGAAATACATTTGGAAGCTTAAAACACTCCGGATTGTGTCCCTGATGTGTTATACTTGGTGATTCTCCTAGTAGCAATTATTCTTTGCACTGAAGTGTAAAATATGTAAGACCCCCCATGGACACAATTTACCTGTGTAGAATAAGGAACCCATTCAGTAACGTCATCATTTAATTCTTCACCACCACATTTTAAGCAAAAATGGTCTGAATTGAGCCCTGAGAATTCATAAAGTGGACTAAGTGGTCTGCAACTTTAACCTTCAACCTGTTCTATGTGCTTTTGTGATGATTCCTCTAGACTGATTGTGCCATCATGAAAGAGTCACTTTCCAAAGAGTGGGAATTATTAGCACAGTGCCTGTCATGAAGCATGAAGAGTTTCAACTTGCCCTGAATATTCCTGAAACTCTCCTGATAGTACACTTTGACTGTAATAAAGTACAAGCCCTTTTATTTCAATAGATCTCTTAATTGCCTAATAGGCAGATACCCACCATATTGAAATGAGCAGCTTTGGTCAAACGATGAGTTACATTACCAAGCACAATCAGGAGTAAATTCAAACACAGTAGGAGATACTGTAAGTCCACAGGAACAGAGTTGTTAGGTACATTTTAGAATTCTACAGAACTCTGGTGAACAGTGCTCATTTTAATACGTCAAAACTGTGTTTTTCTTCTTCCCAGATAACCATTTAGGGTCATATTCAGCTGCATATACAAAGAAAAAATGCACAAATTGCAGACTTGTCCAAAATGTGTTCTTTACAATACTACCCTGCCCAGTACAATAGTCTTGACCAGATACGTTTACAAATAAACTAACATATATTCAAGGTTTTGAGCTAGCTGCTAGCTGGCTCATGTATTCATTGGTTAAATTAAGAAAAAATTCTGGCTATTGTTTTGAAGGTGAATAAATAATAAAACAAGAACAGTAAAATGTGATGGATTTGGTTTAGAAGCCCTTGTACATTCATTTGGGCATACATTCGAGAGATAGTTAACTGTTCGTAGTTGGGTTTTTTTGCTTCTCTCTAGTTTGGAATATGTATGTTTTGGACTGAGTGCATAAAATTAAGACCTGTGTTTCAATGTTGCACAATTTCATAGACAGGTGATCTATTTCTATCGCCCTGGAGGAGTGACAAAGGAAAGCGAACCGAAAAAATCAAAATGCACTTGTCCCCCCTCCTTTTTTTCTCCTGGTTGCTGTGCATATCCAGTCAGGTGTTGTATATCATTTATGACTTTGTCTTGTGTCACTACTGTGATCCGCCTGATAAAGATCTGTATATCTGCCACAAATACAAACCTGTGGAATATAATCTTCATATGGCTGTGGCTGAGTTCTTTGCAAGTGTCCTGTTTCCCCTTTTCCTTTTTTAATACAAAAATATGTAGAATAAAATAGGGAACCATGGTGGTGCAGAGGTTTGTATTGCCGCCTTGCAGCACTGGGGTTCTGGGTTCCATGTGTGGAGTTTGCATGTTCTCCCCATGTTCACATGGATTTTCCCTGGGCTTTCTCCTACAGTCCAAAGACATACTGGTAGGTTTATTGACTTCTGGGAAAATTGGCCCTGATGTTAGAGTGTGTACATGTGTGCCCTGTGATGGACTGGCATCCTGTCCAGCGTGTATCCTGCATTGCGTCCATTGCCTGCCAGGATAGGCTCTGGATGGACAAATATGGATGGATATTACAAAATACTCCTCTCATTTCAAGTGTTAATGACCAATTCATGACCTACATAGCAAAGGAGGATGTGCCAAAGAGGAAGACATCTATATGCCAGACTAAACCATCCATAGACTGACAATGACCATTAGTTCACAGCACTGTGTTAGTGCTAAATCGCAATATTTCTTAATGCATTATTTACAAAAGAAATATAAACATGTGAAACATTTGTCAATAGTTTCTATGTACAATAGTTTCTTTATTCCTAGTAGCTATAAGACATGTTCTCATTTATTGCACAAACCAATAAAAATGTGTCACAGAGAATAATTAAAAAAATAAAATACACACAATAGTAGTTTTGGTTTTTTGGTATCAAGAGAAGATAAGAGAATCTTGCAAATATCAAAACAAATCTCTCATTTTGCGTGATTGCTTTGCCTTTGTTTTAAAGTGGTTATATACAAATTTGAATACATTTAATTACGTCCTGCTAAATTACACTAAGGCCATGTTGTGTGCATCCTTTCCCCAAAAAACACATTAATTGTTAATTTATTTAAACCTGTCTCCACCAGATGCTCACATTTTAAAGATGTAAGCATAACTGCCTTTCACTACACTGTATTTACCTGTCTCCTTACAAAGTGAAGTTTGCATGAACTTGGGGTAAAATGCTTTTTTTTTTCATTTAACAGATACTGTAGAGTTCACTATTAAAATCGTTGTTTTGGGATTACTGACTGTTTTCTGCAGGTTTAGTGTAACCACAAGGAGAAATGGAACTGACACTTTATCAAATGCAGTGTCCAATCTAGCCTCCCTGCGTTTACCCTTTAATTTCAATTAGTGAAGAAATTGCTGACTTCTCCACCTGACCTGCTGTGTCTCGAGGTTGCTGGCACATCAGGGCTTCCACGTGTCACCCATTCCACATTTCAGTGGGGAACTGGGAACATAAATGGGCCTCTTCTATGTACTGTAAGTATTTTTGGGATCTTTGGAATACAAAGCACTATAGAACTGCGCTTTATTATTATTATCTTATTATTTTGCTGCTGAGCTTGGGTATAATGGAAATATTGAATGGCACTGCAGACCAACTCACACCCACCTGAGTCTGTTATTAAGAAACTGTGACAATTGGGAAGTTGAGATGAGGAAAATTTGCCTTCTTCAGGACTTGTCAACAGCTTGTGGTGAAGGCTGAAGGGTGGACCAAATGCCCCTTTAATGAACTGCTTCTAAATCATGAGACCTTCAGGGATCTGCAGGCACCTGTCTTATCAGGTAGGAAAGCCAGATGAGTCATACAAAAAAAATGTCCCCAGTGGAACATCTCAGTTCTCCTGGACTAATTGTCATAGATTATCACTCATTCTAAACTCATAATCATTCCAGACTCATTTTCATTATTAATTGTGTTCCATTTACCTCTGTAATTTCTGAAACCAAATAGGTGCCTTGCTGTACTGCTTGCTTTATTTCCCATTAAGAAAATTAATACGGGGACCAAATGTTCATAGGATAATGAATCCCATCTGAACCATTTTCTGTGGGAGGCCACTTTTCGCACCACACCTGAGTCTTGACTCCTAGACTCCACTGTAAATTGAACACAGCAGCTGCTTAGGTCTTGTTTTTAATGACAACCACCGGCATGTAGCTCCATGAAGAAGGAAATAACACATTTTAGGAGCCCCTAGTGTCAAACTTAACATTCGGAATTGTCCATCGTGATTTTTAGTCCTAAGCATTGCGTCTCCAAATCCCCTTTATTGCATCTATTGGCAGTGCTTGAACAGATGGCATAAGCTATTACAGGGCAGGAGTCACAATATAACATTTGATCAGTGGACTCTATAGCTACTGTATATCTGCCTATGTAAAGGTTGTTGTAAGGACTTGCACAACAGATGTTCATCTTATTACAGTTGCTGTTAAAAGGAGCTAAAAAATAAGGTGGAGAGCAATGTAAAATTCTCCCATTGAACAATAAGATACAACAGTGAGTATCTTCCTCATGATAATTTCAAAAGGGCTGTCAGATGTTTTACCTGGGTTTTATGTGCCAGAACATCATTACTGTAGGGAACAACATCTTTCAATTAATCTACAGTGAATGGCAATTGAAGCCCCAATACAAGAACCAACAGTAACAGGTTTCATGGTGTAAGGTGAATCTGTTTAGTTGTCATCACTCCCCAGGCCCTTCAAGAGCATTCACGGACCTCACACCAAGCCTTTCAGTGTAGTAAATATTTCCAGGCAGTTCAGATCAGAGACTCAGAGTCGTCTAACAGAGGCAGGAACCAGGGCTGGACTGCGCATACATACAGACCAGCAAGACTGATGCCCATTGGAATCTGAGGAGGACAGGGCTGGTAGTGTAAGATGAGAAAGTGCTGCTCAGGATGTTCAAGAACAACTAAGTACATCATGAAGAAACATTGTAGGACTTGAGATGTGCAACTGAGGTAATCAGAGGGGCCTGAGAAACTCCAAACTGTAGACTGAGATGTAAGGTTAACACTTAATTTGAATGTTGCCACATAATGGCTTCATATTCCCTTCATAAATGCAGAAGATGTTATAATCACATGCATAATGCTTAAGAAGGCCATGCACAAATGACATAATGTGTGAATTAGAGGTCATGGCATTTGTTTTAGCATAATTCCAAGCACTGAGTACAATGCGATTGTAAAATAAATGTCATGACCTCTTATGCACACATTATGTCGTTTGCACGTGTTCCTGTAAAGTATTATGATTGTGATTATAATGTCTTGTGTAGCATTTATGATGGGATTATGGTGCCATTAAGAAGCAACATTCAAATAAAGCATTACTGATAATATTTAAAATCTGTTAAAATCGGTCCTTGGTTCTGATGGATAAGACCAGTGATTTTCTTAGGTTTAGTTTATCCTAATTGTTATATTGCATGACTCAGGGTGCCTGAGTGCACAGCTGTAGGGTTGTTGTTTTTAATTCAGACAGGAATATAACTCATGTTAAATGCACAAAAAGTACAATTTAGGCAGGCATTGCAAGAAAGCATGAAACCAAGGTTTTGAAAACCTTGGCCAGTGGGCCACATTCATCTTCATTTGGGAAGTGTCTTAGAGCATTAAAAATGGATCAAGCTTCTTTGTACCAGCTGGAGAAATTTGAATTCAGAAATCTGAATTATAATCTCTATGAAAAACCTTATTTGTCCTCATAAAGGTAATCTTAAATGTGCCAGATTGAATTCATAATGCTAGATGTGTCTTTAATTTCCCATGTAAATCTCAAGAAAAATTACTTTTTTCTTGGTAATTTGTGATTTTTCTCTCTAATCCTAAACCTAAACCCTTTGACTTTTACTATGACTATGTTCGGAAGAAAATATACTGAATTAATTAATTTACCTTTATTAGATTCTGATTCTGAATGTGATTTTGATTCTAATTCTATTTCTGTTTCATCTTATTGTTTAATTAATAACCATTAAATCAGCATCATCTGTTAGATAAAAACTGGGATAGCACCTGAGCTGTTCTCTTGGATATTACGTAATATCTGATTTGGATGAGTACATGACACAATAAATACAAAAAAGAATAAACACAATGGATCAAATGCTACAAACTTGCAGATTTAGTATGCTGTTTTTATTTTGCTACAATTGACCTGTTGTGTGAACATCACATTATAAAACTGTATCTGAACTTGCAGCTGAACCCTGTTCTGTACTCAAATCTTTCTGCCGAAGACGGCTCAATTGTTTGCTATATAAAGTGACCAATTTATCTGGTTTTATAGTATATATTTTATACATTTATTCATACTGTATTTTATACATCGTCAGTATTTTTCTGAAACTGTTATTATTTAGCTGCATTTTCAAGGATCACATGCAGCAGATATTTCTGGAAAGTTGTGTTTTCTTACTGCTGTCCCAAGTGTTGAACGTTAGCAGGCTGGATGGTATAAATCCCACTAGGTGGCAGTAATGTCAAGCACATGGGCTATTAGTATTCAAAGCGGAGAAGAAAGACTAGACAAGCTCAAGGCTTTATTGTACCGATTAATATATCACACTCTATCTCCGCATTGTGATCCACATATTTGCCAGTTTATATTCTTCTCACAGTCATGCAATCATATATAACATAATGGCAAACATTTTGTTTTAATATAATGTTAGTATTAATAGACCACACACATCATCTTTTAAAAATAGCAAGAGGTTTGATTTTTCTATATATTTTTTTGTTTGCTCAGCTTGTGATCCCAAAATGTCTACAAAATTCAGCACTGTAATTGTCCTGTATGTAAACCAATATAAAAGCTTTGACAAAGTTTGAGAGGGAGAGAAAGCCATGCACCCAAACTAGTTCGGTCAGATTGTAGAAGCTAAATAATCTGAGGGTCCCATCCAACTTCAATTCAGCTTCACCAGCCATAGTGTTGATGATGAATGATTGGTTTTGCTGCAATGAAAGAGCTGTCTTGTTGTTTTGTTGACTCTGTTGCAATAGTATACCCCTCCTGTTAAATGATAAATTTATTAGTAAATGATTTATTTACTAATAAATAAAAGACACTGTGAAGTCGAAAGCTGACATTTGTAAAAGCACTGTTGAGACATCAAAATAGTATTTTCTACATGTAGTTTTAATGACAAGCACATCAAAACAACTTCAAAGCCAATGAAAACACAGGATATCACAGCTCAGACATCACCCCCAGGAAGTGATTATTATAATTTTCTCTTATTTAACACATTTACACTTCCTGGGATTATTCACATTGGTATTTTTGGTGTTATAAAGGATTTGAATACTTGGTATCAGTTTGTTTTTTGATTGGTCAGAACCAATCAGGCCTCCGAGATGCCTTAGTTGTTAGTAGAGTAACTTGTAAATAATATATATTTATGCTGTGTGTTGTTTAGTGTGTCATTTCCATTGTTAATAAATATTTGTCTAACCTTGAGTGCCCAATTTATTACTCTTTTCACCAAAACTGTACCAGAGAACAAAGAACACAGGTGCCTTGAATTTTACCAACCGTTCGGGTACAAGTATATCAATGGCATAATTATTACAGTTTGAGGCATCATTTAATTTACTTCTTGATTAATCACATAGGTCAGCATTTTTCTGTAATTCTCTGTTTTCCTTAACCTCCTATTTGTAGCAATATTTTGTAAAGTTTGCAGGATGGAAATATACAATAGTACTCTGGAGGCCATGAAATTAAAGTATTTAGATTTTTCCTACATATCTAGTCTATACTACTGGGATATAGTATTGGATTGACTAAATATACAAACACAAAACCAATTTAGCAGTACTCACCATTCAGAAGAATTAATTTGGTTGCATGAGGTAACAACAAGCTCTGTTTTCACACTAATTTATCTGGTGCCATCATCTCTTAGACTTGGTCTTGATTATAGCTCAAATGTGCCCAAGTTGCACCTCTGTAAACATTTCCAGATGTTTTGCATATCGAGCTCCAAAGATTTCCACATCTGAATCTTCACCATCATCCCTTCCGCCTCTTACATCTGCCATCTTCCAGGTATTTTACTTTTTTATTCCTTTTATTGTAATGTTTTATTAACAAATGATACAACAAGATAAAACAAAACAACCAAGAAGATATTTTTGAAATGCATGGCCAAAGGTAACAATAAACATGCTCAAATAAATGGAATTGAAAAAGATCACGTGGTTGTTGAAATTTCTTATTCATAACATTTTTTAAAGTTTTAAAATAATATACAGTTTCCATTTTAAACATATCAGAATTTGGAATAGCCTCCGGAGTGACCATTTCATTTTTGTGAATATATATCTTCTCCTAATAAAAAACACATTAAGTAAAAATTATTAAATTTGGATCAGTTTTTGGCTGTGTTTAAAGCTGAGTATCAGTCTTCTGTGAATAATTAATATTTAAAAAAAGCTCCATGTAACTCCAAAACATTGTTGCGTATACGGTGATGAATAATCGTTTCTTTATGCAAGTTACAAAACACAAATTGATCATCCACTTCAATTTCAAATCTCGATAAAGTATATTTGACAAGATAATGTTTGTGGATTACAACCTTTTGTTATATTTAACATTATTTGCCTCGTGTGGTGTCTTCAAATAGTGAGTTTCCTGTTTGAATCCGTAAGTATTTTTCAGTCACCTATTATTCCAATGTCTAATGAAGTCTTACAGGACATTTTTTAAAGTAATATTTAATCTAACAATGAGTTTTATTTTTCCAGTACTGCACAGCAATCTTAAAGGAAGGTTTTAAATAATAAAGAGCACACTCTGCCTTTTGTCAGCTTAGAATCTTTAATGCCATAATTGCTACACTTGATTATACTGTATGGTGAGCAGCTTTTAGTCTTACAAATAAGATCACATTTGGCATAAAGGAGAAAGTTGCAATATCCCAAAAACTGATCATCAAGTAGTTTAAGTGTTTAAAATATATCTCTCTCATCCTAGCATTAATCCCACATCAGCAGGGTCCGCTTGTCGGCACGCCCGTCTCCATTTGATGGTTTTTTATGTAGTATGATTGTAAAATAGAATATTGAATAACTTTCTGTAATGTTTAGCTGAAACAGACCAGAGGTGACCAGATGTATGTCTTAATGTCACATGTGTAAGACCCGTTCCTTCTTACTGAAATGATTGGTACTTAGCCAGTAAAATCAGAGTAATTTCAACATTAAAATCTAATAATAAAGTCAAATTATTTTGGAATAGATATACTTTCCTTCTAAACTAAAACATATTCATTAACCTTTCCTTTTCCATGATTTTTTAACTTAGAAAAGAAACCAAGCTCCAGTTCAAATTTGTCCTGAGGACTAGGATGTGAGAGTGTGAGAGAAACATCACTATATTCCTGATCTGATGAAAACAGATGACAAAAACTGAGGTTCTGACAGCTAATTTATATTTTTAGTTTTTTGAGTAGTACAGAATCAGTTTTTTCTACTGTGAAAGATACCTAAAACATCTGAATTTTTAATGAATGAGTTTTGGAATGAACAATTCACACCAGCTCATTTATTTACAACAATCCAACCATGACAGTGAATCAAAGGAATTCATTTCCCTGGATTGGAAACTTTAAACTAGAAATAAATAACCAAATATTTTTTACAAAAATCAAATCACTTCACAAGTGCTTTTCATACAACAATAAAAAATGCAGTGAAATAAAGAAAAAAGAAAAAAAAATTCACAAATATAATATTATTTGCAATGCACATAATGCAGCAGTTCAAGGTGATAGAAATTCTATCTTAATTAAGGCTTCAAAAGCACAAAGCAAAGCAGCTTTTACAAGAGGGCATGGTAGATTGTTCTGTGGGTTTAAACAATTAGAGAGTTTATTGATTAAAATATTGTTTTACAAAGGGAAAACACGATCCAAAAATTGAATGTCCAAAACTTATCAAAAGATTGTCCTTCTTAATATACCTATAAAAACTATAAATGTCACCTACCAGCTCTGCCCTGTTTTAGAAAACTACGAATATTGTCCTCTAAAGACTAAATTGAAAGTGCATTCACGCATTGCACATTTTTGCATGAAGCGATGCAGCTCGTGGAGACAAACAAGGAAATGTATAAATGTAATTCTATTTCATATTTTGTTGTTGTTTCATAAAACCTGTGACATTTATTTTTAGCTGCCTTTCATTCGCCAGTCTGCTCTGCCTCGTCTCACAGGGTGGACACGCCTGCTGTGGCTGTCGTCCAGAGGGCTCCTCAGCCCCTCCATCCCAGGAGGCAGGACCTTGCAGTGGAGAAGACCCTGCCGAACTCAGAACGGAACTGGTGATTCACCACAGTGTAAATCAGAGGGTTGATGGCAGCCGGCACGCAGGTGAGCACCATCGCAGACAATTCCAGCTCCAGGAGCGCAGAGCTCTGAGACAGAAAGCGTCATAGAGGAAACAGTGAAGTCAGGAGATTAAGAGACACAGGAAACTAGTATCAGCACAGAGGGAGGGGGTGATTCACTTTGCAAGAGATAATAAGTTCTACACCATGTCTACAAGGTCCAAGGTGATTGCATAAAAATCAAATGCATGAATCAACCACAAGCAGTAAATCTGCTATTAAAAAGGTCAATGACTGAACGACTGAGCACCCAATCTGTTTATGATCAGACCATGGAATGGGAGAAGGTCGTACCTGCTGTACATGGAAGGACAACAAACAGGCCAGGTGGTACAGTACTTGCAGGATGATACACACTGAGCCATTCAAATGCAGGGGAAGTGCAGCAAGTACCACATGGCCCATTCCAGTCATACAACCTTCTACTGATAATGGCACATTCAATGGTCTGATTGCAAAAAACATCAGCTGGAAAGTCGTAATGTGAATACAGGATGAGAGAGAGAAAAAAACAGAAAAGCTGCAGTAAACATGGTATGAGTTACAGGATAGAGACACAGGCAGAGTGGTAATGAGTACTCAGGCATGAGTGGTGCAGGCAGACACCACCTGGGACCATAGACAGGGACAAAGTTCATAGTTGAGTAGACACTGTAACAAAGCACTAAAGGAATCCAAGCCAAGGTCCCAAACCCAAATTAATCCATTAAGAAGCAGAGCACTGGGGAAATAAAAAGTTGAGATCTGGATAAAGTGGGATTGAGATTGCAATACAAAAATCCAAGCAGGAAATACAAAATTAGAGAGCTGAGCTGAGATTCAGGGCAAAACTGTAAGAGCAAACTCTATACCAGAGTCCAAAATATTCTGAGAGCAGACCTTAAATATCCTGAACCACCTGTGGCAGGTGTGGATGAAAATTGGCTGCAGGTGGTACAGGTCTCCTGTAACATTGCATATACATGGCAAACAGCATTGAATAACAGGTGAGTAGAGGTGTGACCAATCTCCATCAGTCTTTAGTAGTCCACCAATGGATGAAGGCCTCCCAGAATTTTTTAACAAATTTATGTTGTTATATTGGCAACCTCCATCCACTTTACTACTTCAGACTTGCTGAGCATTTTACTATCTTACAGGTGGTCTCCTAAGCTGCAGATACTGACAGTCAGCTATAGTCCATTTGATCCAACTGTTGGCATTGTTGTTAGTATTGAACCAATTACTGTGGAGACATCCTCCAGAAATGCCAGTGTCCTTTACTCTGACTTTCACAGTGATATTCTCAGTCCAGTTCATGAGATTGGACAGGCCAAAGAAGCCAATTTATTTCAAAAGTACTTAAAAAGTGATTTAAATTGAGTTGAGCTTTAATGATCTATCCTGTTTATTGCTGATACCCACAAGTCCACCACTTCAATGAAGACTCACTGTGTCATCTCTCCTGCAGATACTGTGCTCCTGCCTTGCTTCTCTTTTATGTCCATTGTGTCATTTCCTATCCCTAATTCAGCTGAGATAGTTTCCTTAAATCACCCTTGGATTCTCCTACTCTTCTCATTTCTAAGGCTCCTTCTCACAACTTTGTATGCCACAATGAACTTCTGTTGTTTTTTTTTTCCTTTGGCAGTTTATGACTGCTACACAGCTGTTCTCAGAAAACACAGGTAAGTGCTCCAGCATCAAATTAACAAATATGTACTCTCCTTTCCTCTTATGAGACTGGTTGTTCACCACATAAGAACACAAGTATGTCTGCCTTGTGTATTCTCTCAAGCTCTGAAATGTGGGCTGCAGGTTCTCTTGAGTTATTTGTTTGATTTATTAACACTCCAAATGAAAGCTAAACAAGCTCAGCCAAAATTCAAAGCAAACATAGTCTTTTTCCATGAATAGCCTAATAAAGACAGTGTTAACATCATGTGGTTTATCCTGGTAACTCACTCAGTGGGTAAACCTCTCATGCTGAAAGATATCATGCCCTTCTGGAGCACACATGGAACAGTTCATTAGGAATTTCACTGGGAAATGAAATGAAATGAATATCACTCTAAACAAGACTTAGAGCCAAAATCCCAAATGTAGCCCCTCAGGATGTGGAAACTACAGGGAAGTGCCTTTAAAACCAAGAAGAAGAGTTCTTAACACAAAGGTTTGCAGGAGTCTACAAAACACTACCAAGCCATGTTGTGGAAGTTATAATCTGGTTTCAGGAAATAGCTGGATGTGAACCTCAGATCTATTAGCTACCAAATACTACAATCCACTAGCAACTAAACAAGCTAGACGAACAGAATGACCTCCTCTAATTTGTAACCTGTCTTATATGCATATACCATCTCACTGGAAAAATAATTATATTGTGCAGTCTAAATATATTCAACATTAATAATTATTTTTTAATTGTCTCTTTTCATCATCATAATCACCACTACTCTTGTTATAATTATTTATTTATTTTAACTGCTTTATCTAGCTCAGGGTCACAGGTGAGCTGGAGCCTCTTCTGGCAGGCAAGAGGCACAAGGCAGGATACACCCTGGACCATCCACGAGTCCAGTTTCTTAATATTAAGAAGACTGTTTTGACAATTACTTTTATTTGTGGCGACATCTTACAGTAATACAAGGTATCAAATGAATGAATAAATTGTGTTTTAACTGAAAAATAGAAAAATCTCATTTCGTCACTGATGGATTAATGAGTATGACAATACAGAAAAGCTGCAAAACAATATATACACATCAATATAAAATACTGAATGTTTTGATTAAAATGATTAATTTAATACAATTTAAATGTGCACAATTTTCTAATTATTGTATTCACTATGTATTTAACATGTAACTCCTAAATCATGAAATATACCAAACTGGTATTCAATAAGTCTTAGGTTACATGTAATACATTCCTTCAACATTTCTTCTCTGTATTTTTCCAATTTGAATAGATGCTCATTATTTAAACTTTCGTGCTGACAAAGGTCTCAATTCATATTGACATCGCTAGCTGGATGACATTTAATTGAAACATTGGACGTTGTGCTGCTGATGAAAGGCATAATAAAAAGTGATCGCGTCCTGTTACACTATGTTGAAAATAACCCAATGTATTTCAATATTGCCGCTACTCAATTACTGTACATTACGAGTTTGGAGTCTCTTTGAAAAGCAATCACTGATCAGTGATGATGCAGCATGTCAGATCGTGTGTACTTACAGACGTTAGGACATTCATCAACAGAATGACCACCATTGGTGCCCAGAAGACCAAGAAGGCGATGATGATATAGCCGAATCGTTTAGCCAGTTTGCCTTCCATTCTCTTTTTGGCGTGTTCCCTAGAACTTGGAGTGAGAAGGCATATCGCCCCCACAACGTCAGGGGCTTTACCGGGTCCATTCTCTACAGATCCCCCTTCCGAGGAATAGAGGGTGTTCAGTGAAGCAGGAGTGCTTTTACTAACCCCGGGAGGCTTCGGGTCATCGCAGTCTGGCGCGGTGACGCTCCAGTTGGAAACGGGGTTGCCTACTCGCGGTCTGGATGGGATCCCGACGTCGAATACTTTGTTAGCGTGCTGTCTTACCACCACAAAAATGCGCATGTAGTGGACTATTATTAGCGTTAGGGAAAACATCCAAACCGGCACCAAAACATAGATCCCGAACGGGTCAAAATAGCTTCGAGCTGAAACACGAAGATGCCGACACATCATATAAAACAAAGTGTCTTTGGACAGTGTCACTGAAAGAACCCCCAATGAGAAACCAACGGCCCAGATAACCAGTAACCAGGCTTTTATTCGCAGTTTCCTTCTGTCCGTCTCAAAGGGGAATGCGATAGCTTGAAACCTTTCCGCGCTTATGATCACCAGGGTCAGCAGCTGGACGCAGCTGCTCAGAGAGTAAGTGAACTGATGCAGACAGCAAAGCGTCTCCCCCGCCTCCAGACGGCTTTTCTCGAACACGCTGGCCAGCATAAAGAGGGGGATATCCAAGGAGCACTTCAATAAGTCGTTGGCGGCCAAGTTCACTAGCAGCGTGTTGTTGGCAGTTTGCAAACTTTTGTTCCGGTAAACCGCCCAGCACACTAGTAGATTCCCCATCATGCCGGCGAGAAAAGTGATCCCCAGTACACAGCAGTTAAAGAGGAGCGACAGGGCGTCCAGGGAAACGACAAGAGTTGCGGGTGCTGAGCTGTTCAGTTCCCACGGCCCGCCGTCCATCGCACACAGGGGCACGCTGCTGAATCAACAATCACACGCCAAAACACGATAAAACTTCCCGATTTTCCTTTACATCGTTTTATTTAATTATGAATCTATGTGATTTTTTATAACAAATCACAACAAGTAATTGCCTGGACAGTTGTTTTTTAAACCTCTTGATACTGCATAAAAATCCAGCCCCAGACCTGCAACCTGTCGAGTCGATCGTCTTGCTGCACACAGTACTGTACCTGCTATTTGCGCTCGCAGCTGTCAGCGCTCAGCTGCTGCTCTACAGGCTGTCCTTTATGCTCCGTCAGTCACCGCGGCTATTTCTTGAGATTCTCACTGTTCGAGTGCGATTTATTGTCCAGTATGTTCCACGGTTGATGTTTAAGAAACACTGTAGCTATACATTGTTAAACATAATCTATACATTATTCGCGGCACCAAGATATATTCTGTAGGGTCGCTGCTGAAGTTTAAAATGTTAACAATGTAAATAGTATTTTATTGTCATAGTGATGAGTGCCATCTAAATATACTTATATGAAAAGTGAAATTTATTTAACCAATTTAAGCCTAGTCTTTTCAGACAGCCACCCATCTCTTAACCTGGCTGGTGCTTCGCCTGACAGAGCGAAATTCAAGAGGGAAAATGTGTCTTCTCCAGACCTAAGTGTTTGGTCTTTACAAGACATACATGAGGTCACGTCACACCGAGATAAAAATGGAGATTCCTGCATTTCAAAACCAAAATCGTGCAAACCAACATTTGCACTGTATTTCTTTTTATATTATCAGAATCAGTATACTACACATTTTTATAGCAGATAATACATTTCAGTATTGTCAAGGCGTGTAGACGTGCTGTCACTTTCGATGGGCTAATCATGGTTAGGAGTCTCTTTGAAATGATAGATTTATTAAAGTAAATTTTTGATGGAAATGTAAATGTGGATAATATGCATTAAGTGTACATGTAAGACATTTCATTGTTATTTCAGTATTAGCAGTGGTCTGGAGCAGAATAAATGATTTATTGCAATGAAATGTGTTTGAAAAATGGTTCTTGTTTGGGGGGAAAAAATGAAAGCTTTCAAGATCAGAATAACTGAGGATCATAGTTGCATTCAAAGATCTGATAAATGGTGTAGCGGTCTTCTTTATCAAACTGAACTGTAAAAAAATCTTACATCAGTTTTGAAATAGAATTCCCAAGAGGGAATTATTTACTAAGCATCAAAAGAAACAGCACTGAATTTCTGCATGCATGTTTTAGAAAACTACAAACGTGAATGGGTAGAGGTGATGAAGGCATTTCAACTGTTGAATGTCAAGCAAGGTAAAGCTGAAGAAATAAAAAGATGTTTTGTGTAAAATAAATTAAATCAATACTGAGGCCTGATTGTAATGGTCTAGGTAGGTGTGTCTAGTCACTACACTACCACAGGTGTAGTTATTGATGACCGGAAGAGAAGTCACAGAGGACAGGCCTGGGACATACTAAATGGAGGGTAGTGGCATTGGCTATTGTACTGGAGATTCCTAAGAGAGTGCAAGAATTGTTTTAAAACATTCATCCACACTTGCTCTCTTCCTGGACTCTTGGTCCAGGAATGCCAACTTCCTGCAGGATTTATAGGCTGTTCAAAAGTCTCCAAGGTTATAAGCCTACAAAATAGTTGCAATTAAGATCAATGAAGTTAACAGTTAATACAATAGCCAGTTCTTTCCACAACAACCTTACCACGTGCCTTTAATACACACCCTAACCATCGTAAGATCAGGCAAATATTCTGAATGCTAGAACATAAGGTTACAAAGGGAAGAAAGCCATGCAGTGTTTTCAATTGCTAGAAGCCAAGTGATCCATAGCTCTCTTCCAGACATTTTGTATAAGAAACAAGGGTATAAGCTTCATCCATATGGCTCCTACTACCATTGCTAAAAAGAAAAGACACCCTAGTAACAATTTTAAAATGTACTTTCCATAGCATCCACTTGCATCCTTAAGCTAAAATATTGCTGTTAATAGTGACCTCACATGTATCCCCCACCCAACTAGTTCCCTTCAATTTGGTAAGCAACCCAGCTTGATTATGGGAAGCCTTGATTAGCACCAATCACACAGGGCTTTGATTTACTGTTGTAGCATTTGTACCATAATTGCTCTGCACCCCAGTGCTCTATTTAACCAAATAATGTTAATACTCACCTCTGGCAAAGGGCTTGATTGTGCCTGGAGGGACACTTCCTAATTTTTAAAGCACTGAAGCCATGATTTTGTGGACTTGAAGTTATTTCTGTGCCAGTTTATTTCAGTAGAGGACTAAGAATAGAAAGTGCTAATCAGAATATTACAGGCGCTTGTAGCTCCAAAAATATCTTACTAGGTTAGTCTCAGGCAGGCTTTATAGACTAAAGAGTATATAGTTGTTTTAGCATTATTACCATCTTAAATACTGTTTGAAAGGTTTGAGGATCATATATAACACAAGCTATACATCATATACTACAGTATAGAAAAAAATATAGCGGTCTTGAAAGGGGAGGCTCCCAAACTAAAAGAGCAGCTCTAGTTTTAATAAGCTTTCTTTACAATGCGAGACATCTCCAGACTTGACAGGGAGAAAATGTCAGATACAAATCAGGATATCACTGGCTAAGAACCCACCTAACACAAAAGCACCCATTATCACTCTGCAGCTCACAACTGGCAACCCACTGAAGCTAAGCAGGTGTAAGCCTGGGCAGTACCTGGATGAGAGACCTCCTCCAAAAAACTAAGGTTGCTGCTGGAAGAGGTGTTAGTGGGGCCAGCAGGGGGTGCTCACCCTGCGGTCCATGTGGGTCCTAATGCTCCAGTATAGTGACGGGGACACTATACTGTAAACAGGCGCCGTCCTTCGGATGAGACGTAAAACCGAGGTCCTGACTCTGTTGTCATTAAAAATCCCAGGGCGTTTCTTGAAACGAGTAGGGGTGTAACCCAGGCGTCCAGGCCAAATTCCCATTGGCCCTTATCAGTCATGGCCTCCTAATAATTATCCCCATCTATGAATTAGCTTCATTACTCTGCTCTCTACTGAGCTATTGATGCGTTGATGCCATTGCATCATCCAGGTGGATGCTGCACACTGGTGGTGGGGAGGGGAATCCCCATTACCTGTAAAGCACTTTGAGCGGAGTGTCCAGAAAAGTGCTATATAAAATGTAAGTAATTATTATTAAAAGCTGTGTCAGTCTCAGTTAAATAAAGAGCTGCAGTAAACGGAAAACACAATTGCCACTTAGAAAAATGTCCACTGCTACAGTGAACGAGTGCCCATCAAAGAATTACAACAAAAGCAAAATTACAATAAAGGGTTTTCCTTTACATGGATGAAAGCTTTTATTTTTAAATAGCAAAAATGTTTAGGATGTTAAAAACCTTACAAATATAATGGTTCTTTTAAATCAACATGGAGTTCTTTTATCACAACAACAAACCTTACAATGATGAACCAATAACAGGCAGGTAAAATAGGTCTTGAACTCCTGGAACTGTTGTAGGTAACACTGTAACTTTGCAATAAAGAATTTTTCACATTTTTGATAAATTTCTCCTAGTTTATACAACACTAATGACTGTATATAATGTAAGGAATGTCTGAGGAAAAAAAAAATCTCTACAGTTATAGCGTGCTTCACTGACTGCAACTAGAACACTTTCATTATTTTAGAATCATTATGTTTTAGAATACCACAATTTGGATTTCATCTGGGCCTTTTATGGTTACAAATCCTGTACTATGTGCTCTTCTGACATTCATACTGAAACTCTGCAAGCTCCAGAGTGCCTTACCTGAGAGTTATTACAGACTGGAGGAGTGACACTCCTTTTGCTAATGTTACTGCAAGCTAGCAGTTGCCTAACAAGTCACAGAAAGCCAATAAGGCCCTTTCTAACTAATGCCCTTCCTGCATTGGTAAACAGTTACCAAGGGACTAGTGTGGCAAGTGTGTAAGCCAATGCTCGCCAATGGAAAACTGCAGTTGCAATGGGAGTCTTGTTCAATTTTTAATTACAGATAAACTGATGACTTCATGAAGATGTTTTTTTTTTTTAATGTGTAATGTCAAACCTTCCTGACTAATAAAACTAAATAAGATCTGATTCTGGCCAGAAAAAAAATATTTGAAACAACAACAACCACTAACGTTTAAGCAGCTCTTCCACATAGACCGAGTTCATACGATATGCAGCCATCCAGCTGGAAGCCATTTGGTAGTGCCTGTGATGGGGATGGGCCATGGCAGCATAATATTCTTCCCAGGCTTGGTAATACATTTGCCAATATTGCTGATGACTTTGTGCCTGGATCTGTGGCTTGTTTCTACGTTTTTGGAATGAAACTCCCTCTTGTTGCTTAACGCCATGCGCTTTCTTGGAAAAGCTTCGATTTGGGTCAAAGCTTTTTTTTTTCAGGGGCCGTGCCACACAGGGTGCAGCGGGAGAGCGGTGTTTGAGGAGGGCTCTGGGATAAGATCGGGGCGAGTCGGGACACTCAGGTGAAAACCGAGGCGATCTCTGCAGATTAAGCTCTGCTGATCCAGTCCCTCCTACTTTACCCAGCGATGCCAGAACACCACCCTCCTCCTCTGGCGAAAGGTACCCATCTGTGTCAGTATCTGTGGACACTTCAGAAGAGGAGCTGCTTCTAGGAGAGACAGCTCTCGGAGTGGAGTTGTGGTCATCTCTTTCAGACATACAGTCTTTAACCAACTCGCTGGGTCCAGCATTTGGTGGGATTTCCAGCTCTTTGGTTTCTACCTGCTGGCCTGGCATGTCACTGTTGGGCCCTCTGTACTGTCGGATGATCTCCACCGATCTACCAGGACCATGGATCATGAAGCTCTCATAGTCAGCCTCTATCTCCTCAAAAGACAAGGGAAGCCAAGCTTCAGCTTTAAAGGAGGGCAATGGGGAGATTTTAGGTAAGGATTCCTGAAGAGCTCTCTGCTCCTGGATGCGAGAGTCGGTTTTCTGGGCAGCATGTAGGGTAGCTGTGTATGTAGACAGGGGGACATTTGGGGCTTTCTCCTGCACAGGAACACCAGCAGGCTTTTTGGGGTCTTTCACATTAACTACATCCACTCCTCTTCCTATGCCAGAATGCCCGGCAGGGACAGTCTTTGCTAAAGGTTTTGGCTTGGGCCTCTCAGTCCTACGAGAGGAAAACGGCATAGCGTCCTTGGGTTTTTCCACCATCTTGTTTTCCCCTTTTGAAAGTGTCCTGAGAGAGGGTGCAGTCTTAAAGTTTTCGATAGTAATGTCCCAGTCTGAGGGCTCTTCCATTAATCCGGGAGGAATGGGATCTGGAATAAGACCAAGCAGGTGATCAGATGTCCGTCAAAGAAGAAACACAAAAAGAGAAAAGGTTATATAAAGGAAAACAAACAAGGCGATTAAGTGCAGTCTTGCATAAAAATGTCCACATATAACCACTGTAAGTATCCATTTTACACCTTGTCTTTCTAAGACCACAAAACATTTTTCAAATTTAAACATTTTAAGGTATTCACTATCCCCAATATATCAAAACTTTGCAACATGGTTGATTACATATTACAGCATCATGGCACTCTGGGTCAATGCACTGGCTGAAATATTGGGCAGCACTCCGATCGGTTCCTGAAAATGCATCATATTATGACTGACTAATGAATTGTTACCAGCTCATAGCAACTTGAGAAATTGTTAGAATGCTGGATAGCATTAGCAAGTAAACAATGAACCAGATCTAGTTTACCTACAATAATATCACAAACTAAAGCAATCAATACAAGGCAACAAAAAAATACTTAATGAGTGTTATGAGCAAGGCTTTGCATAACAGATACAGTTATACTTAATAATTTACAAGTATCCTGTTTCAGAATACATAAGCCTTACCAGAAAAGGATCCATACCTATCGCAGGGAATTAAAATGCTCCTCCTAAAAATACACACCTCATAGCGACAGTACACGTTCACCTCACAAAAGCAAGATTATTTTCTTAGTATGTATGTGTACCTGTGTAACAACTTATGTGAACTGCCTAGGTGTATTTGCAAAGTTGCACCTGACTTTAAAAAAAGTCCAAAATCAACCAATTAAATTAATTGTTCTGTCTGAATAATATTTTAAACATCTAAAGTTTACTGTATATGTAATTAAGACTTTTCATCCCCCTGCTGCTTACTTTCAACTTAAATGCTGTCCATGGTCCTGAAACACTGACTAAAACCTGCCTGGGAGGTCTATGTGTGGAGCTAGCCATGGTACCTACATCCATTGCCTAGTCTGGTTGCTGTCCAGTGTACAGATGTACATAACTCCTTATTAAAACAAAATACCTTTTAGGAACAAGTAAATGTTTATGCCATGCTGAAAAGAAAAGAGATGACGTTTCGGCGGTGGAGTGTTCTTCAGATGTGATATACCTAATTCACATAGTTTTAGGTACAGGTATAGCCTGTCACTGCAAGAGTGTCTCTTTCAAACAGATTATGTATTACTGCACACTTTGGTTACCATCTTAGACACTTAGGAAAATCAGAAAAGTGATGGATGATCAGAAATTGTCACAGGAGTCCATTTGGTCTCATTGGCTTCTAGGTGTAATGGGAACACTTAGAAAATGATCCTTTAGAAGAACCAGTAAAGCCTGCTCCGTGAACCCTCCGTGAACCCTCCGTGAACCCTCCGTGAACACACACAGGCTTTGCAGTCCAGAACCAAAGCAGGGACATTGCAGCTACAATAAAGTAGTTTTATCCACCGCATGACAATGGCACCCAGGAATAAGGAAAGATTTGTAGTTCCTAGCCTATACTTGTTGTCTTTGTACGTGGAAGTGTTAGAGTGTTAATGGGGTCGTGGGGATGCTGGAAATGTGCCACACTACCTGGAAGACAGGACAGGCTGAGGTTGCACTTCTGTGCAATAGCCATCATTTTGTTTTCCTCCTCACCGCGGCAACAGTAGGTCACGGCCAAGCCCTGAGTTCCTGGGACAGAGAGAGATGCTTTTAAGAGGTAGTCATAGCAACACAGAAGTTAGCATCTGCACTGTATATTGAAAGTCCTTTAACTTAGAGATTTCAGACTCTTGGAGGGCCGGAGTGTCATTTCAGGGAAGCTTTCAGTTTCTGAATTGGCCCTAATTATTTTCTTAAAAGGAGCCACACACCTATGAAACACAAAGACTTTTACACACCGAAAGAAAACAGCACTGGAATTGTCTGTCATCAAGTTGTCTCTGCAGTTCCACATGAGAAACCTTTGAATTTAAATGAAAGGAATAAGCTTGCTGTCTGTGAAGAAGCCGCTGCTGAATTCTTACCGAACACAAAACATTTTCTGTTCCACCCTGATAGAGGTGATGCCAAGAAGGCAGAGTGTGAGGAACAGATTAAAAATATATTCTGTAGGTAGCAGTAGAAGGGAAAAAAATTACATTCAGAGTGCTTAATGCAAATATTGGACTTCAGAACAACTGACTTAAGCAGAAGCTTTTAAAAAGGCATAAGTTTTGGGGAAGAATGTCTATTTTCAGCACTGCTGATCCAGAAATAGGCAGCACTCACTCTCTGAAGCTAGCTCAATGTTCAAACTCTTATGTATCCATTACAGACAATGAAATGTAATTCAGCTATAAAAACATCCATGCTATATCCGACCAAAAGTTGTAGCTTGTGTGTCATGAATTTACAGACCTTTTAACTGGACAGTCTGCACTATTTTTTTCCCCAGATAAAACAACTTGAAACAGAAGTGTCACACAAATGTAAATACTGCGTACATAATAAACAGAACAAACAGGGGACCCCAGGGACTGTGTGGTAGTGTAACAAGGCCCATTTGACGCATAACTACACCTTGAGAAACTGTAAGTAGATCATAACCTTGCTTTAAAAGGTGGTGTTTTTTGCACCAAAGAAATGAACAAAAGTAGGCAAAATGAACAGCCTGTGAGAAACACTGCAGGGCACAAATCAAAAGACATACATTAGCACCCAACTTTAAAAAGAATAGGTATGGAAAGTGCATAGATTGATATAGATTAGAGCAAGGCAGCAGAATTTCCTTCTGCAGGGTCTCTGAAATGCGATCTCTCTCTAGGAGAGACACAAAAGAGATGCTAACAAAGACCCAGCTGTCAGCAAGGCCGAGCAAGCCTGCGGTTGTCATAGTTACACACAAAAGAGGCACTACTGCTTTCAGAATTCCAGCTGCTCCTTATGTAACAAGCTCGGCTTTCTGACCTCCACACACGCGCCCAACTCAACATGGACACATGTCAAGCACGAGACATCTCCCAGCCCAAAGGAACAAATAGCTTGCACTTTTCACATTTATCACTTTAAGCAGAAATGCCAAGGTCCTTGTGTGTTGGGATAAATGTAGCTTTTCTTGATCCAATTCAATTATAAAATAATCTGAATCAGATTTGAAGAGCTGGAATGATAACCCACAGACACACCGGCCCTCCAGGTAGCTCTAACTTAAAGAAAATGTGTCCAAATTCACTACTGTATCAACTGTTGATGGAAATGTGATCATAATCACCTTTCCTGGTTCAACCACCCAGGAGCCCAATGCCGAAGTTAACACCTAAACCCATGAGCATTACAAGAGAAAATGGCTTCATTCTGAGAGAAAGGAAAAAACATCCTTCATATCAGACAAATCCCTATTTGCAGGACTTTGTTGTTCACACACATTTACAATATTCATTCCAAATGAATATAAAAGATCTCAGCAGATCTGCATTACGGGAATATTAAGACCGCACATCCACAGGGAAGCTCAGGTTTAAATTTGTTTCAATCATTCGTCACTCCTCCTACGATTCCAATTTGAGCTACGGCGCAGGACCGTGCTCATGAACTTCTATGGCAGACGCAATGGAGCGGTCGTTTCAGGAAATGTGCTTCAGTAAGTGGACCGTTACCAAAGCGACCTGCTCTGCCAATCCGGTGCATGTACGTCTCCCACTCTTGCGGCACGTCCAAGTTGATCACCAGGTTGACCTTCTCAGCGTCGATCCCCCTGGAGGTCTACAGACAAAGCGAGAGGAGAGAGAGTCTTTTACTCCCCACGCAGGGCTGCCAAACAATTAATGGGACCTCACCAGAAGAGCAGCAGCTCTTCAGTTAGACTACAGCCTACTTCACAGGAAATCTACTTCAGTAATTCTTGGCTGGAAGTGCAGCGGACAATCAGAATCACACGCTCAGAAAAAAGGCGATCATATTTTACTTCTGGTGAACATAGCTGATCACAGCCCCTGTCTACAGTGCCACTGTGTGAAGTGAAAACATCCCCTCAATTTGATTTACTCCATGGTAGGCTGCTAGAGACGCTATGCTCGTCAATCAAATAAGAGGAGGTGGATGATGCAAGGCGGCACAGAGCAGTCCTGCAAAGAGATGCCCAGGTCCTGGTGAGGTGGGGTAAATGTTGGCTTTCTTGGTCCAATTACAATTTTAAAACAATCTGAAATCAGATTTGAAGAGCTGGAATAACCCACAGACATGCTGGCTCTTGAAGGGCATCTTGCTGAACAGCTCGGATATATGCTGCACCTTCTCCTCAAAGATCTTGTGTGCAAGGGGGTGGGAGCTGACCACTTTATAGAACTGCTTCAGCCCTGAAGAACAGGCACATTGGGAAGAGGTTGCTGGGACTGCCCGACAATGGTTTTGGAATGCCGTTTTTCTCTGCATTTTGAAAGTTCCTAATGCGATCTTGTTCTCCATTATATAGTCTGAAATTATTTAATTTGTTACTAAAAAGGGCCATTTTCTGGAGAACACGCAAGAAAACACACAAAGTGCATCCACCCGTAATGCTCTGAATTTGATCGTTTTCAGGAAGTACAGCCCCCGTCACTCTCTAGTGTTACCATGAATGGGTGTTTAGAAACAATCACTGCATAGGCATATACAAGGATTCTTCCACACTTGGTACAATGGCTATTTATTTTTTTTTGCAAGGCTGTGCCCAGCTTTCAGTTATTCCAAAACGTCTCTCTAAATTTAGATTGAACCTCAGGTTCTATACTGACCTTTGAAAAGGCAGCCAAGTTCTAAGATTCCATCAATGGGAAAACGAAAAGACAGATGAAGGTGGAAATTATGTCTTGTGATTAGTATGTTTTTAAGCAGAAAGCAATGTATTTTAAGTGACATTGTACTTTTGTGTTCAAAGATGAGAATGAATAGAAACCCTCTGAAAGCAGTTTGTGCCTGACTTTTCAGGCAGCCACAATACCCATACACAAAAATATACAGTACACCTTCAAGCAGCAAGAAGGACTTCAGAGTAGGCATACCACTGTTGGTATGCACCTGATGTAATTATTCAAGGTGACTCGTTAATGTCTGCAGTCCTCGACTGCCTTACCTGAATTAATATTGGGCATTACAAGTTGGCAGTCATCCCGTATCTGTGAAACCACTGGGCAGATTCACAGATTAAAGCATAAGCTGCCAATATTCCCCAATCTATTTCACTAGTACTCAGATGCTATTTGCTAAGTTTTAAAAGGGACATGTATAATTGGATCAATATTTTCCTTGGATTCATTTAGTTTTTAACGCAGAACAGCTTGGTAACCAGTGACTCTTTGTCTGAAAAGTGCAAATATTTGCCCGAGTTGAATAGAGATTTCACCTGCTTGTGAAATAAGAAGATGTAGAGTGCCTTTAGTCTATTTTTACACAGGACTAAAACCTTATATTACTGCATCGCTCCACTGGCTCAGTTAAAAACTGTTCCATTGTCGTGCACAATATTTTAGCTTGTGTTATTCTTATTTTACACAGGGCAAGACTCTCCCCTGGAGTTTTACACACGACTGACAGATGGCTGCAATGTGTGCCTATAATAAGATCCGATTCTCTATCCTTCAACACTAGAGAAGTCTGCAATCTACAAGTTGGAATTGAAACTTGTTTATATTGTATAGAGTTAAAGAATGCTTAAATGCTTTTGTGCCCAAGGTCACAACACCATCCTTCTGTGTAAGTGTCACCCTCAGGTCCTGGGTGCTCTGTTTAAATCTGACATTGTAAACACAGTAAAGCCCCTTCTGGCACTTAAAAAAAAATCAAATAAAGATGACCTGAGACCGGTTCAGAATCAAAGATGCGATTGTATTGTGAGCTCCAAGACATTCATTGTAAATAGAGATCAGTCTGGATGAGCTTCAGAGGGAATAAATGAAACCCCCACATGAAAGAGCACGAACGCTAGCTATAAGCAGGGTATCACTATTAATGAACACCTGATTATATCTCAGGTGACTGAAATGTTTTTAGCCATGTTAAATAGAATATGAGGCTGATAATCACTTACTGATAGCAGCAAGTGAGGCATAGCTCTCTACACTCTGTAAGCCATAGTTTTTTGTATTATTTACATGTATCATATCTATAATAATAAACTGTATTCTTGCATTTTTTAGGCCATGCATACACCCCACACACACAGGAGTCACTTACCAGATCTGTGGAGATCAGGACCCGACACTGATACTGCTTGAGCTGGGCCATGGCCTCCAGTCGCTGGTCCTGACTCAAACTGCCTGCCAGAGGGAATCAGACACAGACGCCAGCAGTTTCTCTCTCACCCTTGACTCCCACCATCCCTCCCTCTACCTCCACTTTCTTATCGCGACATTTCAGCCAAAGAAAACCGCCAGAGAGAAAATAACTTCTGTTATATCTACAACTCAAGACAATGATACACTTTATAAAGGTGGACTGAAATTAATTCAGGTGTGAAAGAGCTCGTATTTCTTTCCAATTATGCCTCTCTCCAGTACAGGGGCTCAGACACAGATCAGCTACCATGAAAGCTCAGTGTGTTCTTAGAGACACAGGATTTTTATGATTAAAAGGCTGCTAATTGGAAGGAACGAGATTTCTTCTGCCTTCAGGCTACCAGTATTGATAGGGACCTCTAAGGAAATGTCTCCAAGCAAGTTTTACAAAGTCTTTAAAATGGTTTAATGAACAGCACTGGGTCCAACAGTACAGGCTTTAAACAATAAAGCCCAACATTTTAGCAAAGAAAATCAAAAAGCTGCCTTAAGGGCTTGCCATGAATTTAAATGGCCAAGAAACAGGCCTCATCTCCTCCACAACCCTTACCCCTAGATGTACTGTAGTAAATCCAGCAAGGGGAAACATCAGTCCACCTCAGTACAAAATACTGCCTCATTTTCCTTACAAAAATGCCCAGAATGTTGTCCCTTGTTGTGTCCTATCGCATCCAGTCCTTTTTGTTAAACCATTTTAAGCACCTCCAGAAAACTTACTTGGAGTCATTTGCCTGCGAGATCCCTATCAGTACCGTTAGTCCGAGGGCAGAAGAAACTTCCTTCCGAGTTGCATTTTTTAAAAAATTGTAACAGACAATGAATGCCAGCGAGAGAGAATTCACTTAAAGAACTCTCAAGTCATGCCTTTGAAAAAATATAAAACCCACTTAGAATGCAGAAAGGCACAGCACCAGTGTTCCACCATTAGAGGAGAGACTGGCTGGCACGCTCAGTCCCTTCCCCAGTCTCTCACCCACCTGAAATGCACACAGCGGGGAGGCCCTTTGATGTGAGGATATCAGCCAAGTGTTGGGCCCTGAGGAGGGACAAAAACACTTGAGAGATTAAAGGCTTCAAAAAGACCGAGGCAGCTTTCATATCAGACTCACAAGAAAGAGCAAAGAAAAACAAAACAATACACTCCAATGTCAATACACTCCAATGAAGTGTAACCAGCATGCGCTGCTCTTGAGCCACATGTATGAAGTGTACGACGTTATCCATTTATGTCTCATTTTTCCCCATGTAAGTCACGTCAGAACAAAATCTCACTCACAGTGATAACCTGCAGAACCGATTAAACATTGACTGGGACACACCAAGTGAAATATCTTGCTCAAGGATATCAAGAGCAGAGTTCCATCAAGGATTTCGACCCCCATCCAGTTCAGCGCTGAGCTGTAACCACTACAGCCTGCGATACAGTACAGAGAATAATATTTTCTAACAATTCCTTAGACTTATGTAGCGCTTTTCTGGATACTCCACTCAAAGCACTTTACAAGTAATGGGGACTCCCCTCCTCCACCTCCAGTGTGCAGCCCCACCTGGAAGATGCGATAGCAGCCATAGTGCGCCAGCACCCTCACCACACATCAGCTATCAGTGGAGAGGAGAACAGAGTGATGAAGCCAGTTCATAGATGGGGATTATTAAGAGACCATAACTGGTCAAGGCCAGTGGGAAATTTGGCCAGGATACCAGGGGTAACACCCCTACTCTTTTCAAAAAGTGCCCTGGGATTTTTAATGATCACAGAGAATCAGAACCTCAACTGGACCTATGGAGAACCAGTAATGAATCACACCTCGGCAGAACTTCCTTATTGGATCCTTCCTACTCTATTTATGCTTATACACCTTTTCATGCTTAAATAATTTTCAGCCCTAGTTCTGAAAAGGCTCCTCAAAACTGCAGGTGAGCAAGCTGAAGTGGGGGAAATTAATCATTGTGACACAGGACAGTCTTTTTTACCCAAATTGTTTCATCAGATATTTTCGGTCATACTCTGAAATCTGTTTAAAGGGCAGGAAAAAACCTAAACCATCTCTGTTGTAGCTGTTGGGGCCCAAGCTTCTTTTAAGAAGTTAGACAAGATCAGACACAAAAAGTATGCAGGTTTCGCACAAAACCCCCAATAACAGCTCATTTAAGATTTGCAATCAAAGTAAGGGATACAAGGCTTCAGTAAATAAGTGAATTGAATAGTACAGTCTTTTTTCAGCCTAGATTACATTTCTCAGTTGCCACAACAGTTTTTAAAGAGATAGTAGAAGGGATTCCGAAAACACCATCACTATGCGCTACACTGCTCACATCATACAAACACATAATGGTTCTTATTTTGGGGGAGGTGAGAGTCCACCCTCTTGTCCTCCTCTGATCCCAGCACACCATACCTGCTGTGCAGATTGGAGAAGACTAGGGCCTGGTTGAAGGGGATCTTGCTGAACAGCTCGAACAGGTGCTGCACCTTCTCCTCGAAGATCTTGTGTGCAAGGGGGTGGGAGCTGACCACTTTATAGAACTGCTTCAGCCCTGAGGAACAGGCACATTGGAGGAGGTTACTGGGACTGCCCGACAATGGTTTTGGAATGACGCTTTTCTCTGCATTTTGAAAGTTCCTAAGCTTATTTTGTCCTCTGTGATATAGTTTTACTTAAAGGAAGGGACACTTTAGATTGTTGGGGGGGGGGGGGGCATTGTTAAGGTCTCAAAAATTAAATTTATATTTTTTAACATACACAGTTATCTCTCAAAGCACTTAGACCTAAACATCACATCTTAACACTCCACTCCGTATGCTGTTAGCTGCTGGCACCCCAAAGCTGTAGTTCTATTTTCTCCACAGAAAGCAACAAGAAGATAATGAACTCAAATAAATTTCAAGGTGATGCCATGTTCAAGGGTATCCCAATTTAATAATAATAATAATTTCTTACACTTTTATAGCGCTTTTCTGGACATTCCACTCAAAGTGCTTTACAGGTAATGGGGACTCCCCTCCACCACCACCTGGATGATGCGACGGCAGCCATAGTGCGCCAGAACGCTCACCACATATCAGCTATCAGTGGAGAGGAGAGCAGAGTAATGTAGCCAATTCATAGATGGGGATTATTAGGAAGCCATGATAGGTAAGGGCCAATGGGAAATTTGGCCAGGACACCGGGGTTACACCCCTACTCTTTTCAAGAAACGCCCTGGGATTTTTAATGACCACAGAGAGTCAGGACCTCGGTTTTACGTCTCATCCGAAGGATGGCACCTGTTTACAGTATAGTGTCCCCGTCATTATACTGGGGCATTAGGACCCACATGGACCGCAGGGTGAGCGCCCCACTAACACCTCTTCCAGCAGCAACCTTAGTTTTTCCCGGGAGGTCTCCCATCCAGGCACTGCCCAGGCTCACACCTGCTTAGCTTCAGTGGGTTACCAGTTGTGAGTTGCAGGGTGATATGGCTGCTGGCTAATTTGTTAAAGAATGGTCCTAAATGAGCTCCTTATGTAGATTGGTTAAATAAGCCTGGGCTCTAACGGGAGTAACGTCACAATGCCAAGTCCACAACAGCCACTTGCTTGATTAGCTAGAAGCCTGCCTGATTATTCACTTCAACGGGAAACACAGTTAATCAGCTATCCTGCACGTCTTCAAGCTGTTTGAAGAAATCAGCTTTAACCTTCTTCTGACCATTTAATTTGTACCCCACAGTCATGCTGAAGAGAATTAGCTCCCTGGCAGGGTCACAAGGGGAAATTAAGAGCAGGCAATTTCAGGAATCAGGAAATGCCATTACAGAGAGAGTGGCAGGTGTTTAGAACAATCTCATTCAGGTTAGGGAAGCCAATCTCCTATGATCACATCGTGGTATCCATGAGGTAGAAGAGCCCCCTTCTAACGGATGCACTAGTGCCAGCTTGCAAGACAAGAGCACAGAACAAGACTCACCTATCAGTGCAGGATCCATGGGGTTCAGCCTGACAAAGGTGGGGTCTCTCATGTATTGTTTCAAGTGCTGAGCCAGCGACTCTGGGTAAGTGGCAGAGAGCGCCAACATTTGCTTGTTGACGGGGAGGGAGGAGTAGATCCAGCTGATAAGAGAACAGGGGCAGGATAGAGGGGAAAAGAAGGGGACAAAAATCAGGAAACAAGATTTTCTTCAACTACATAAGAATCTGGTTTGGAATAAAATTAGCCTTTTTTATGTCTTTAGTCTTTATCATCATATCCTGAACTTTCCCCCCCCCTACTTTGGGACTGAATCCCATTTGTTGAAGTAACCAAGAACGTAAGTGGTTACAGACTTACTAAATAAATAAAGGGTTATCCATTAAAAAGGTAATTTGGCCACAGTTATTTTGAGCCCAGCTTGAACAAGATACAGTAGGACAAGGGCTACGCAGGAAAAGAGGTGCTGCCACCCCTCCTAGGGCTCCCCAGAACCCCCAACTCGTACTTGATTTGGTCCTGGAAGCTGCCCTCCTCCAGCAGTTTGTCAGCCTCATCCAAGACAAAAAGGCGGATGCTGGCCGTAGAGAGATAGCCCATCTCAATCAGCTGCTTTATACGACCTGCAAACCACACAAGAGTCTCTAATAAACAGGCTGTTCAGGCAGAGAGCTCCCACAATGCTCCTGGAGATCTATCAAGCTTTACAGCAGCCTCAGACCACGATCAGCTTTACAAATCAAGTAATTGAGTAATTTACAACACCACTGGAATGAAAACCAGATGCCCCCAAGGCTACAGACTCCCAAAGGAAAACAACAAGTACAAAGTTTGTTCTTTAAATTTATTTTAATTTACATAAAGACAGGTTGATTAAACATGTTTGGAACAAACTGGGGCCTAAGCATCAATTAGGCTTTAATGTCAGGATGGACTAAAAGCAAAAACACTGTTACTAATTTGTGTCCTGGAGCTTTTACTTTTGGGACACATTTGGATCGCTGGAAACCATTAATAAATAAGTTCCTGAACGGGAATGGTTACAAAATCAAAACAGGGTTTTGCGAGTAAACAAGGAGGATGAAAAATAAACAACAGTAATTAAGTATACTGTAACAAAAGCACAACACATTTTTGCCTCAGGTTCAACAAGTTGTAACTGCTCCTCTAAGCTGCAGCTTCAAATCAAAATACAAATAATAGCACATGGGCTCCTTATATTAGCAAATAAAAGCCTTCAGTAGGAGTATAGGCTGGATCCTATAATCTTGAAATCTCTTGCTCTCATCCCAGATTCTTGTTAGCCAGCTGTGACCATGATTTCCCAATGCCTGTGTCCAGAAGGGATTGGGAAATTATCTAAGGAGTTTCAGACTCTAGTGAGGGAAGAGAAAACAATGCAGCTGGATGGCACTACTGTCACCTTTGGGACTCACAATACAAATACATGGATCGGGCATCACTGCTATGCCACACAATAACATTCAACCTCCTAAGCTTGATAATTGCTCCCTTATTTCTGACTTAACAGCTCCTGCATGATCAATTGATGATGAAGACGCACAGGAGGGAACGACATTGCAACAGACTACTCCCACAACAATACAATCTCAACACAACAACACAATGTTAGTTGTTCCGCTTACATCCAATTGGTTGAATGTCATTATGCACACCAGACACTACACAGTTCTGAGACTCACCTAACAGCACAGGGCTCATACTAATTCTGAAACTCATTCAGCTTTTCAAGAGCTAAAAGCAAATTAAAAAAATTACTTCAAGTAGAAAATTAAAATAAACTACCCTGCGAATAAGCACTGGGCAGATCAGTTACTGGCCATGATTAGTACTGGTTACTAAAGGCTCAGCTGCAGACAGGGGGAGTCCTCAGAATTTGGAGCTTCCCCAGGGGACCAGGACTGAAATCCATGATGTCCCTTTCTCCATAGTTTTGCAATAAACTGGTGTCAGGTTCAGAGGGAGAATGACAGAAAGCTTAAAAACAAGAGGAGCCCATTGGCACATCCTGCAGTCATGTCAGACTGATTCTGGTGTGCTGTGATCCTTGACAGGATAAGCAGTTTTCCGATGGATGTTTATTTAGCACTGGTGTAAGGAGAGGAGAGGATCAACAGAAAACGAAATGCCAGTGGTTAATGTGTTCTGACCAGAGGCTTACAACCCTGAGAATCTAAGCAGTGCCCACACTTTCCTTACTGACCTGGAGAGCCCACAGCAATGTGGCACTTCTTCAGCCTGCTCTTGTCCAGACTGACTGGGGTGCCCCCGATGAACACGTGGCACTCCAGGCCTTCCATGGCAGCGCCGACTGTTGTGACGACCGAGTGGATCTGCACCGCAATCTCACGGGTTGGGGCCAGAACGAGCACCTGCCAAAAGAGCGAGACGCTGAGGCAGACTGAGCAAAACAAACCTGTAGTCCTTGGGGCTCAAAAAATAATAAAAATCCCTGCTCGTGCAATTCTGTTTAACCCAGAATGAAATTTAGTCTTTGCAATTTACTATCGCGGTGAATCTACAATCACACACTTGTTATTTGTCAACATTGTATTTAAAAAACTTTTATAGTACTGGTGACAGAGACAGCCAGGCTGCTGTGACATGAGAGCGACATGAAAATGTCCATTTTAGATTTGTACATATTGCTCTAGTAATGACAGACCCTTGCCAGGAGTTCTATAACTGTTTAACTTAAGTCACATTAATGAGGGACAGGCTTGCCACACAAAAGCAGTTTGCAGGTTTGCAACCTTTAAAGTATCTGCTGTATGCCAGGATCTCACCTGTGTGGACACATTCTTCAGGATCAGAGAGTCTAGGGCAATGGTGGAGAACACACAGGTCTTCCCAGTGCCAGATTTGGCCTGAACAATAAGATCTGGAAAAAGACAAATTCCAATTAAGACCACATGGGGGAGCCTCACACCACAAATACTTTTGGAAACATAATTCTACTGCATATGAAAAAAAAACGAGTAGGTAGCCGTGTCAGCATGCGTAGGCTGCAAAGGAAAAGGTAAAGGTTTATTCTGCGCTGAAAGAACAAGAAAAGAGATACCAGGCTTCCAGATTTTTTATGAAAAAGCTGGAAGCATTTTACCTCCCTAAATAATATTTTCTATTATGTCTTCTTCCTGCATCTACCATTTCGGATAACCCAATAATATCATATGCTCACTAAAAGTCTTTATAAATGACACTTGTGATAATACTTTGGGTTTCCCAACTGATCTAACCAGTACAGGTGATCACTGAGAGAGCACGTTAAGCCCTATGACCCGGACATGATAAACACCATCAGGATTCCTCAGGCACTGATACACAACTGGCAGAGCATCGCTAGGGTAGGACAGGTGTGACAAGTACAGTGCTCCCTGAGCCAGCTGGGATTTGATTCCAGACAGCCGGAGGAATGTGTCCACACAGCACCACTGCCTAGACAGCAGACAACTCCACCACAGGAGAATTCTACACAACACCAGTGACAAGTGAAGCTCTACTCTACCCCTGCCCAGGCCCAGGGCCACAGCACTACAATCTAGCCAGCAGAGAACCCCACTTCAGCAGAATTCGACATGGTCTGGATTTCAGAGAGAGTTGACATCCACTGCGTAGTGGTAGTTATAGCACAATAAAAAAATGTGTTTGTCATAATTGCAAAAGTACCATTATACTTCTTTTATCTTGTGCAGTTGAGAGCTACTAACCTCTTTGTAAAGACCATGTAAAAGGGTCATTTAAAATGGGCATATAAATTATTCACACACCACTGAAAAATAAAAAGATCTCGTAACTGCAAGCCAAAGCCAACTGATATTGGATAAGAGACATTATGAAGATGTCTGAACTCAAAGCTCCTACAATTGGATGCACGTTGTTGTATAATTCATACCGTGGCTAATACGAAAGGTTTGGGGCACGTTTATGTTTGACAGGAGAAGAAAACTGAAGCAGCACAGCATTATATCAAAGACAAAATTAACATTACAGATAAATAGAGGCTTTTCCCCATCACAGTAGGTGTGTGGTTCCATATTTAAGTCACGGTCGTCCATCGGTTCAGAGATTACAGGTTTTTTTTTTGGTTTGTTTTTTATATTACACTGGTTTATATGGCGTTAGCCGTACCGAGAGCACATGTCTCAATTATGAGAGCAGACTTGTCAGCCACGCCTCCCACTTTCCCAAATATAGAGAAATGTAGCTTCCGAGGTAAACGAATTGTTTATTCATGGCATCTGTAATAAACATTATTTTCATTACCAACAAAACTGCACATTTAATTCACACCTGATTTTTTAATCTATCTTGTATCTTGTAATGGGTACACACCGCAGTGTGCTATAATCGTTTACGAATATGATTAATTATTTCCAGAAATTGCTTATCTTAATGTTAACGAAGATAACAGAGTGTCTATTACACTACAGGAAGCACCACTTTAATTAAAGAGATTTTATCTTTAGGCTGCAAAGTGCAAATCGCAGCTGCAAAGTGCAAATCACATTTAAATCCAACCCAAAATGTTCGTAAGAATAGCGATCCTACCGAGCCCACAGCGACCGAGCGGGATGGCTTTCAGCTGGATCGGGGAGGGTTTCTGGAAACCCGCGGCAGCCAGTCCATCGAGGACAGGCTGGGACAGCAACAACGAGCTGAAATCAATACCCTCTGCGAGCAAGACATCTTCAGTCCGCCTCCTGGTTTGAATATCATGTGCAGCCTTCTTCATAGATGCTGCCATTTTGAACCCAAATATCGCGTTCTTTCCGCTTATTGAACGATGAAACTTTATTCGTTACTTTAGGCTCTATGCTGCTCACACGCTCAGTTTCACTTGAGTACTATCAGCACCTTGGACAGGACAACGCAATTCTGAAACACATCGTAGACTGCTTTCAATCAACTCTAAATCCTTGGGAAAGATAATGTTACCCGCCAAGAACACTGACTCTTTAGCTTTGACTTCCAAAAAACTAGTGCGTTGCTTGAATGGTTTTCTTTTTCATCGCCTGTTTTACACCTTAAGGAAATTTGCAATTTAGCCGCTACGGGGCAGTATTTGAACGTCTAAAGTACACATGCTGTTAATAAACTTTCATTGGTATTCGAATTTCTGACATTTCTGACAAAAATATAGACGATCGTGAGGATGACGAATACAAGCATGATCTGTCATTAGCTACCAAACTTTAAGACTACCAGCAAATCCAAAAAGGTCAACATATAGTAGCAGTAGTAATAAAAGTTATAAAAAGAGTATAAAGCTAAGGTACATTTAGTAATTTAAATGAAAATTTGTCATTTCAATTAAAAGTCCATCTCAGTGAATTGCAAATACAGCCAATATTTTGGAATGTTAAACAGTGAAAACATCTCAAGTAGTGCATGCAGTTAGACTGACAAATCCCTAATTTACTTACCATCACCAGATCAAAGGTCAACCACACTCCACCACTATACAGCTGCTAAGGTACTGAAATCCTATGTTTTAAACAAGAAACATTAGACTTGAACCCACTTCCCACTGATTTATTGCATTGGTTAAAGAATCACCAAGCTGCTGTTGTGTTTTTGTGGTTTCTAGGGGGCACCCAGGCACTCTTTCATGTTCTAGAGTGCCTGATACATCTCTTACTATAGCATGCATGGTGGCAGATCAGTAACTCAGATCAAAATAAGACTTTAATCCTGTATGAGTGAAGGACCTCATAACGTATGAATTGCAAGTTAAATGCTGCTGCTGCATAATCTGTACAAAGTCAGAAATATACAGTGAACTTGAGGTCCAAATCTTGTACTTGATTAAGCCAATGAGAGTAATCAAGGGATCAAACTGGACTGCAGGTTACTAGGCAGTGGGGCACAAAATAGCTGACACACATCATGCAAGACTGTTCCCATCTGTGACAAGATATGTAACAGGAAGGATGTAGTCTTGTCTCTGTTCACTCCTCCTTAACACACAAACACAAACATCCAGAGTAACCCTTGATTTGGATATGAATGGAATGGCTTTCCCATACAAAGCCTGTAAGTGTGAAGATATGTACAGTATCTGACCAAAGTCTGGTGCAAATGTTAATGGGTGGATCAGGAGGATGAGATCAGACAGACATGACTCCCCTTACCCGAAACATCCCCTCAAACCTAAATGATGGAAAATTACAAGAGCTGATGAGTGTGCAAGCTTTATCATTGAAACAAGCATCACCAAACCCCTGAATTAACAAAGTATAAGCATGTTCATCATTACTCTCTGTATTGTGAATGGAAGCTGCCAGCTATAATTAAAAGTAATTACCTACGCACGACAAAGAATAATGGAGAAAAACTGAAAGGGTGAGTTCTTTCCCTCTCACTCGCCTCCCAATTTGCAGTCTTGTGTTTTTAAAAGCGGTAGAGGAATGTAGGGCTGACCAGAAGTAAATTAGATCTGTGTACACCAGAGCAATGATACTCATGTCTCTCTTCTCGTCCACACTATTCTAAGACATGCAGCTGGCATTCGTTCACACAAGTGTCCACAGATCTAAGGCCTCGTTTGCAGTCATTTTGAACAGTTAGGAAGCTACACTGACAGCCAACGGAGAGAAGGAAAGCAGGCAGACACAGCTCCCTGTTTTTTCCAGCCATCCAATTTCTAACTCCATTATAAAATACGGAGTCGCTGGCCAGATGGAGGCTATCTCAGCAAGCATCAGGGGCAAGGCAGCTTACACTCTGTAAGGGAAACCAGTCCTTCACAGGGCACACACCAACACATGTACACCATGGCCTAGTTTCCCAGAAGCCAATTCATGAAACAGTATGTTTTTTGACTGTGGGAGGAAATTGGAGCACCTGGAGGAAACCCACACAAACACAGGGCAAACCTCCAGACTCATGCATGCAGATAACACCCCAGAACCTGAATTAAATCCAGGGCTCCAATGCTGTTAGGCAGCAATGCTAACCACTGCAGCACTGTGTTCCCATTCATGGGGCCAATACTGGGGAAATTAAGCAGGAAGGAAGGGTGGTGGTGTTGTATAGGCTGCTGTATTAAGTGGTGAACCAATGGATTTCAGAACAATGTGTAACACAAATTTCATTTCTTGGAGTTTTTGGAGAGAATGACTTGCTTCTCAACTTTAGGACACTAGATGTGAAACAATTATCTTCTCTTCATCTTTGGCCCTCGTTTGAACCTGGCAGGAGAACGCAAAAAGTTGGGGAGTAAGAAAATGAAACATTTGCTATGTTCAGTATTTCAAAGCAACACTAATCTGCTTCCCCTGCCACACTTTTCCTGTGCAATAGGCCTTCGTGGAAGTTTCAGAAAATTATTCTGTGAAATGACAGCTTAGCATGCCAAATAATTTCAGATAAGAATAAAGAATTCAAACTTAGTTTGTAACAGTGTAACAAAGGGTAAATGTTTCAGTAAAGTGCACGGAATCTGAACTGAATATTTGTTAAAATTCCATCGTAAAAAATAACACCTTCAATGGTAACTATAATTCAATGGTTTTCTTGGAAAGAAAGCAAGAAGAATAAGTATCCTCCCTTTCCTATTTCTTATTTCATAAGCTTTTTTTTGCTTTTCCAGGCTCTTTTTTCTGTGTCGTACTAAGAAGTACAAATGTATTGTCACTAAAATCATAATGCAAAACCTTTATATGAAATTCCAGCTGAGATCCCATATTCAACCCTCCTTTGTCTGCAAAATTGGACCTTTGTTCCACATCAAACATCACCAAGCTTTGATCAGAAAGTTCCTACCTAAATGAGCGGTTCTGTGTTGCGCACTCCTTGTTAAGCCTCAGAGTACATTATCCTTTGCATTTGGATAATTTCCTGCCTCTGCTCTGGTTTGAACAGTGGCACAAGACACAGGACGGCAACATCAGACATCTCTCACACTGTGCGCTGCTCTCCCCAAGCAGATTGCTTTGCTGCTCATCGGATGTTTAATTAATGCATTTCCAGCCTCTGCTTTTGGGCTCGGTTTCGGAATCTCTGCCCCATCCACGGCTGCATGCACCTGGGATATCCAAACAAGCAACGCTCTTGAATATTCAATTGAGACAAGCATTCATTTACATGGATTTGGGTCAGATAACGGGAAAGGAGACGAGTTCAAAAATGTGTTTGATTTTTCAGCTACTTTCTGATGTCAAATAGTCATTGTGTGTTTTCTGGAATTTGTTTTCTTTTTTATCCTTGTCACTCTAGAGAGAATACAATTTGAATTTGAGATATTTAGCCGTATAACAGCATTAGATAGTGGAAGAAATGTTCAGCCTTTGTGGCTATGGTGCTAAGATATAGTATGCTCTCCCAGTGAGTTCTAAATTAGTGTTAACATTAAACATTAGAACTCTTTTATCATATTAATAAACCCATTTTTGATGGGTTAGGCTGTGATTTCCCAAACCTGCAGTAGCAGTCTAAATGACAATGCAACTTTTTGCTAGGAACGTTCTAGGGATTTGCACACACAAAAAAATCACTTTGGGTGTTTTAAAAGACAAAGAAAAAAACACACAAGCCCTTAAAATAGCACGCATCAATAAACTCCATGTGAGAATGTGCACTTTATTCACTCATCACCAAATACCTAATAAAGAGTTTATGTCCAGCCAGTCTGTTCACAGGAATTAAAGGTCCTTTTGGCGGCCTCTAGTGTAAAATTTGTTATAATTGCAGTCCCTTGTTAGGCCTGCAATAGTCTGGCTTTAGTATGCGACCAGATTTTCCCACCTCATCTTTGATGAATACCCAAGACCTCTCTTCTCCTTCCCATGTACTGGGAACTCATCAGATTTAATTCTGGAGTCTGGATATGAGAGTAGCTGTTTTGGGATTTTAAACACATTGATATACAATGTGCAAAAAATAGACTACCAACAGTTTTGCTGAATATTTTATTAATAAGAAATTGTGTAATTCTCCATTTCAGATAAAACAAGATAACTGTATTTTAGAGTTAAGTTTTATAAAAACAAAGTTTTTCTCCGAAGCAAACTCTGTACACAAGGCAGCTGCTCCGAGCTTCAGCAATGCTTTATGTTTGTTGATTATGAATTAACATTCTAAAAGTACATATACATACAGTATAAAGTATTTAAACAATAGACATATATTAATAATAACTTATATGTATTTTTGCTTTTATCATTTTTGAAATTACATCACAGTTAATATAATCAGTATTCAGTTTTAAAATACAAAGTCTTTGTTTTTCCTCAGGCGTAGGAAAGTCTCCCTGGTTAAGTTAGGTCAAAAATCAGGCTGGCTGTGTTATGGTGTTTAACTCCCCATGAATTCATGGACTGATGAAATCTAATGTAATTACACTGATATTTACAGCAAGAAACAGAACATCCACTTCATTAGCAACACAAACCAGGCCCCTGGGGGGGGTAAAAATTTCCATAGCTCCCACAGCACATGATGCCCTGATGCTTAACCCTTCCTGAACTAAGCTGCTTTCAAGCAGCAGAAGTCTCCCCCAATGCTTCTGAGGTAGATATCACAGTCAATCCACAGTGAAGTTTGATAAAACATGTTGAAGGTCCAAGCACGAAAAGGCATGGAGACTTAAGGTGAAGCCTGCAGCTGAGAGTGACTTTTTAATATGCAATACTGCGAAAGCATTGGAAAGCTACCAAAAATACTGTACAAAATATACCTCGATAAACTGATGTTAAATAGTGGTTAATGCATTTATTTTGGACTGAGGCTCTGCCATATTCAAAGAGACAGATTTAAGAGAGAGAA